GTCAGATTTATATGACATAGCTATTGTAGGCTATAGTGGGGTAGCACATATGGGGTACAGTTTTCTAGGGTTTGTATTTGTACCCAACTTTCACTTAGTCATTTCAATCTCGTTCTGATTTCCTCAATGGGGGAGAGCGATATTTTCTTACGATCATCGACGACTGGAGCAGAGTCATGTGGGCTTACCCCTTGAGGCAAAAGAGCAATGCAGCACCGGTGATTCAGGATGAATGGATTCCTACATCAGAAACATAATCTGAATGTCGGGTGAAGCGGATTCGCACTGATCGTGGTGGAGAATTCACGGGAGACAAGCTGGAGAAGTGGCTGAAGAAGAAGGGAATCATAAAGGAAAAGACCACAGCTTATTCTCCACAGTCCAACGGGGTAGCTGAGCGAGCAAACAGAACGATTCTCGAGACAGCCCGGGCACTACTCATCGAGTCCGGTCTCGGAAACTCAAAATGGCCGCATGCTGTAAGGCATGCAACGGTGGCACGAAACAGGGTCCTCACGAATGTCGGAGATGAGAGTTGGGTTCCAATGAGACGGTGGCTCAAGTGGAAACCGCCAGTTGACATGCTGCGCGTATTCGGATGCATGGCGGTGGCTCACGTTCCCAAAGCCCACAGGAGTAAGTCAGGAGCGAGCGCGATCTGGTGCGTGCACCTTGGCCTGGCACAGGAAAGCAAAGGGTGGCTGCTGTGGGAACCGAAGAAAGGGCGTTTCTTCGACAGCCGAGACGTGAAATTCCTTGAGAACGTGATGTACGGGAGCTGGAAACAACAGCCGGAGGAGAAAACTGCACAGCAACTGCAGGAGATTTCTCTGTCATTCAATCTGACTCAGGAGGAAGCCCCTCAGGCAGAACCTGCGGAAACCAAGGAAAACAGGGTCGAAGTGGGGGAAGGTAGCAAGGAGCCAACCGAGGAGTATAGTTGAGCAAAAGGGAAGGAAGAGCAGCAGCATCCTCTCACTCAAATGAAACCTCCATCCCTGCCCGTGAGGAGAACTCAAACGCGCTCAATGTCTAATAGAGCAGCATCAGCAACCGCAGCAGATCTGATGAGGACGGCGGCGCTGAAGCTGAGAAACCTAAACCTACGGAAACCAGAAGGGGCGCTTCAGGAAAGGGAAGATGCTCTATTAGTGACAGGGGACGGAACTAAGACTGAAAGCAAGGAAGAGCCGGCTTACTGCTTCGTGATCCCTGAACAACCTGCAAGCATGGAGGAAGCCCTCACCGGAGCAGACAAGGAAAAATGGCTTGCGTCCAGGGATGCCAAATACAACAGCCTACTAAAGAATAACACCTGGGAACTCGTTCCCTTGTCGGAAGGGAAAAGGGCGCTTCAGTGCAAATGGGTCGTGTGGATCAAAACTGACGAGAAGTGCGAGGTGACAGTGTACAAGAGCAGATTGGTGGTAAAGGGTTTTCAACAGAAGGAAGGGGAGGATTTTCGAGAGCTTTTTGCGCCCACTGCTAAACCTCCAACTCTGAAAGTAATTCTTGCTGACGCAGCAGTGAACAGATGGTACATCCAACAGATGGATGTAACCACGGCTTTTCTCTATGGGGTAATCGAAGAAGTCTACATGGAGCAGCCTTCGGGATATGAGGACGGAACGGGGAGAGTATGCAAGCTAAACAAGGCAATCTACGGTCTCAAGCGGGCACCAAGGTGTTGGTATCAAAAACTGGCAGCCGTTTTGGGGGAGTTGGGATTCAGAGCAAGCAGCTGTGATGAGAGCTTGTTTCTGAAGGGCGAGAAGGAGGAGATGGTGCTGTTCTTGGTGTATGTCGACGACATACTACTATTCAGCAGCAGCATAAAGGAGATTCAAAAGGTGCAGAAAGAGCTCATGGAGACTTTCCAGTGCAAGGTCCTTGGAGAGGCTTCCTACTACCTCGGCATGCACATCGAACGCGACCCTGATCACATGTGGCTGAAGCTTCATCAAGAGAAGTACGTGATGCAACTGCTGGAGAAATACGACATGGAGCTCGGACGGAAGGTCGCCACCCCACTACCATGCGAATTCAAACTTGTCAAAGTGGAAGAAGGAGAAGGAGTTGAGGAGGGAGAGCAGCGACGCTACCAATCACTTGTGGGGAGCCTTCTGTACGCCGCTGTACACACAAGGCCGGACATCTCCTTTGCGGTCGAACAACTCGCCAGGGTGGTGTCCAACCCAACCGAGGAACAAGTTGATGCAGTCGAAAGAGTCGTAAAGTACCTGAACTCATTCCCATCTGTAGGAGTTCAATTCTCAGCAACGGCACAGCAGAAGCAGAAGGGGGTAGAGCTGCTGAGGGAGAAGGGAGAAAGGTTACCGGAACGGAAACTCTTTCTCACTTGCTTCTCGGACGCAACCTGGGCATCGGAGCAGGAAGACTAATCCTCTGTGGGTGGATATATCTGCGTGATAGGGGGAGGACCGGTGAGCTGGAGGTCCAAGAAACAGAGTGAATTGGCTCTTTCATCTGCCGAGTCCGAGTACATGGCCATGTTTCATGCCGTCAAGGAAATCATACGGCTGAGAAGGTTACTGGAAGAGATTGGACAAGAGCAGACGATTCCCACGCCACTCTACTGCGACAACATGTCAGCAATCGCAATGGCTTGCAACGCTGTCCTTCACGGCCTCAACAAACACATGCGCCTGAAGTGGCACTGGTTGCGCAAGGAAGTCAACCGAGGAACTGTCAACCCGATCTACATTAAGACACAGCAGCAGCCGACAGATATGTTGACCAAGAGGCTGGCTGACGAACCACACTGGCGATGTGCAAGGATGAGCGGCATGAGCATGAACTAAGGGAGAAGGGGAGAAAAACCGACAGATTGAGGGGGAGTGTGTTAATACAGAATCAATTTTCTGTATATCAATCAGCCGGTTTATCTCCTGGGAGTGCACAAGTCATTTGAGGCGAGCAGCGCTAAGGCGGATCGTTTATTATCGAAGTGGGATGTAGCTTTGACCAATCGGAGGTGTCGGTTCATAAACTCGGCTTGACTCGACTGATTGATCGATCAAAAGGCAGCACGGAATTCCCGTTTGCGCTGCGAGCTCGCTGATGCTCAAAGCGACGAATTTCGACTACGCTGATTGGTCAATGTTCGCGCAACGATTTCGTCGTTCTGAACAGGTTCCGAACATGTTCAGAACATGTTTTCGAACATGTTCTGAACAGGTTCCGAACATGTTTAGAAAAGGTTTCGAACATGTTCTTAACAGTGTTCACGCAAGTTCGTAACAGGCTTCGAACAAGCTGACGCGGCTGAAGTAGAGAGCAGCTATTTGCGCACCGACATTCTGAGAGCTGCACTCTCGCCATCTGGAACTCGTCAGCTCGAGAAAGGGCTCACAACTTGAGCGATCAAAGTACGTGGCGAAACTGCTAACGCCACCAGTATTTCGAGCGAGGAGATTGGCCCAAATCAGCATGCATGTTCAAGACAGCGAAGCTTACTCAAATAAACAGAACGGATCGATCGGAGCCGTTATCAGAAGAGCGCGAAAATAAGAACGGATCAATGTCGTTAACAAGATTCGCGCAAACGGTTAAAATATTTGCCGACGAATGGCAACCTAAGCAGAGTCACAAAATAAAACGAGGGAAACGCGAAAATTGCTCGCGCCTCGCGAATGATAGGAATTGCTTAGAGATGTTAGATATCTAGCAATAGGATCAGCCTAGAGAATATAAAAATGTATGTCTCGGATATTAAGAAACACTCTCTCTGTCTATCAAGCATTCTCTCACGCGACTCTCAATTTTATCAAGGATTCTCTGACTACGCCGCAACATAGGATTTCCGCTGGTTGGCGAAGTGGCACCTTCGCAACATCCACACTCATTATGAGAAACTCTTTTCAAGATGTGTGAAAATATTTCGAAGTAGTTTAAAAAGTTTCCATTTATAAGACGCATAAGACACCATAAACCGTCCCAAATACCGTAAGCCCCCGGATAGTAGCGCAGGCCTCGGATAAGCGCCGGCGCTTATAAAAGGATGAGGGCGCTTATATTTGGTCCTCGATTATAAGCGCACCCCTGAAGGCTTACGGATTATAAGCACCACCCTCTGAATTATTTTTAATTTTTTTATTGGAAACGCTGTAACGAAACACAATTTTTGCATCCCCACATTCAGAAATTCGAATCCCTTCACCATCGCGCGACTCAATGCCTTCGCGTCCAGTCAGAATGACCTGTCATGGGGTCAATCTGACTCATTCTGACTGTGCGTGTTGGCAGAGAATCAGCCACTGCCAATTTACGCGAGATTCACATTCCAGCCCTCTACAATATCGATTCGATTCAAATCGCAAAGACGAGATGAACACTTTGGTGCAGAAAAACTAGATTTCATATATGTCAATTTATAAGCCCCGGCGTTGATAAAAATCCTCAATTATAAGCCCACCCCCTAAAAAAGAGTGTTTTTTTATAACCCCAGGGGCGCTTCTATCCGGGGGCTGACGGTACAAGATAACCCAAACATTTATACCCGTGTACGAGATAAGACATATATGTCTTCTATCCGGGCGATGGCGGTAGTATTATTGGACAATGATGGTTATGGCACACAAATAGTCTTCCCTCCTACTGTTCCAGCGCAAGCATTCCCATTGTAGTCTGTATACGCCGCAATAGCAGCAGCTCCTCCGCCGTAGAAGCGATAAGCACCAGAACATGTCAATGTTTTTGCTACTCGCTTTGCCCTCCCCTTGCTGCACGAGCCCAACTGGAATGACCAATACTCCGCTCTGAGGCAGATCTGGGATCACAAGATACATGTCAAGAAAGTGCAGAGTGTGTAAGTATGGTACGTAGGAGACGACCAACGTGACAAGGTAGGGCGACAAGGCACATGCACCCTTGCTGAAGTCTGCATGGAAATGGCAGCATGCATAGTCTAGTGGTTCTCCTCGCCTTTCAAATGCCACAAAAGATCTCTCCCCCTTTCCCCCGCCCCCACACTCCCTCCCTCAACCTCCCCCAGCCCTCACAATCCTCACCTGCACACCAATGTTGCTGCCGATAGCGGAGGCAGAGGAAGGGATGGTGGCGGAGCAAGTGAGGCCGGGATTGTTGCGGTACAGCGCAGCCCATGCATCCACAGTGACACCCCCTTGTGAAATGCGGTTCCTCTTAAGCAGCTGGTCACATGTGTCTTGAGGTGCGAGCGTGCCATATCTCACACACGCGGGCACGGTGAAGGCGAAGGCAGCACTGCGCTCGAGGCACACAGAAAGGCCCGCCTTGATGGGCTTGGAGCAGTCAAGGCCGGGGTTGAGCGCAATGAGATTCTCCATTTTGAAGTTGAGCGGTGTGCTGATGGATGCACAGGTGTCCCCCTGGAGGGTTGAACAGAGGCACGGAAAGTGATGCTTGGTGCTTGCGATGTGCTTAATAAAACTGTGCCAGGTGCTTGGGATGAGCTGTGTTGACTACGCGAGTTGGTTGAGTACAAGGTGTGATGTGGGCAACTAAGCAGCAATTCTCACGTTGAGGGAGTAGAAGAAGGCAGTGCAGGGTGTGGCGGGAGTACCATCCAGCTGAAGGACACTGCCCTTGGGCAATGGCTGGCTGCAGTCGATGCCCTGCATTGGGAAACACATGCATGGGTGAGAGTTCGTACCACATTCCACACATGGAAGGCCTCCTCTCCATACTAGGTCCTGGAGAGAAAGGTTCTCACACCTCAATATCTAATACAGATTTTTAGGATTCGACCTGTGAATGAAAGAGGGGAGGCTATCTCCTCGTTGATGGGAGGGATAAAGGAGTGCAACACAAAGCTGTAAGGTGGCTATTAACTCCAACCCCCTCTTCACTCACTATATTCTGGTCAATGAAGTCAATCATTGAGAGGCCAATAAGCAGATGAACATCCGAGCACCTCCAGTTGTCTCCACTAACTGTCATTGTGGTCGCCGTGGTATTAGCTGCAGGCAGATTTGGGAGTGAGACAAGAGGATCCGTTTCAGGAACCGGAATACGTGGCGAGGTGGAGGTTGCCAGCCCGGTCAAGCAAACGGAGGTTACCAGGCATATTCACAAGCAAACAAGACTAATGGACATATTCAAGCCACTTACTTGGATCGCAGGTCGGGAAATCATCCACTGTTGTGCTTTTAATGTGGTTGGGAGGGCATATGCAAGAGTAGGAACCCTTGCCATCATTGATGCATGCTCCCACATAGCAGGGGTTCTTGAAGTATGACCCACACACGTCCACTGCCACACGTGTTACGGGGTCGCAGATAGTACAGAGAGTTGAGGCAAACAAGGTTTTTCATATGAAATTGAGAGGGAATATTGGGAGAGAAAAAGGGTATATGGTCTGCACAAGTCCAGCTGGCCGTTGCCACTGGGTGACCTCCAACACACACCGGACACAGGCAAGAGGAGGATGTAGAGCACAAGGGTCATAGAGGAGTCTTTTCTGCTCATCCCATTTCCCTCACTCTTGTGGCACACACTGCACACATCTGATAACTCTTGCTTGATACAGCAGCACGACATAAATTAGTGTAAGACCAAACCACATGCCCTTCTACTCGCCCTTTGACTTGCTTCTCAACTTACCATAAGCACATGTGGAGCCAATTCCATTTGCAATCTCTACAAAAGGCTGCACAGTAGCGGTAGGAATATTGCAGGAGCAATTATTGCTACTTGCTGTCTTCCCCTGGCACTGGAACCTGCCGCACGGGTTCATGCTGGGCTGCAAGTCCCCATCGCCCTTGTAGCTGCTTTCTCCACAGGGGTCCCCTGGAACTGGAACGCGTCAAAGAGGATACATTTGAAAAACACGTTTCAAAGAAGATACACGAGTAGAACATTAGGATGGATGTTGGAGGATGACGGAAAATAAATAAAGAAAGAGGTTAAGCTTCAATCTCAACTTTTGTATCTGTGACTTCTATATCGTAGTTTTGTGTTGTTGTACATTTTGTGGGTTGGATGTTACACCAACATGCCAAGGATTCAACCCCAAGATTCAACCTACCAAGGAAATTTCAGCCAATCTCATTACGAAGTGGCCCAGACCCTTCCCTAAAGTTGCAACTCGATCAACTTGATGCATTTTTTGTGAGTTTGCACTTGCCCATATTGATGCCTGCTTCGCCATCTTGCCCTTACCTTTGGGGCGTCCTCTCATCCTCTCCTAAAGAGGTTTGGGTTCCAGGCAATAAGGTAGATATGGCTCACCTCACCTGTGAAAATGTTGATGTGGCTCGCTCTTAACAATGGTGCCTTACTCTTCACAATTGGGTAGATGCCAGGCAGCACGTTGATTCCACACACGCCATCCCCTCCCTGAATGTCCATGCGCATGTGGCCCCCGTCTCCCCAATCCTCTCCCCACGAGTTGCGGATGATCCAAAACGGAGGAGCAACACGGTTCTGGCTGCCATCATTTCTTGTGATGAAGTAGCCAATAACGAGTACAACATGGTTGAGATTGCCCGTGTAGCAACCAGGATCCTGGAATTTATACGTCTGAAGCAGGACATAAACAAAGAGGGAGTCGAGTAAGTACAGTTAGACAAGCATGAACATGTAGATGGGGATGCATCACTTCGAATTGATGGAAATCATCTGACTGTGGAAGTTCCTTCCATGCAAATGATGAACCACAACACAAGGACCGCCCAACACGGTAGGCACCATACCGAGTGAGTGTTGCAGCGGCTCACCCCATCATACTTCATGAAGGTCGGAGACACCTCGATGTGAACCACCACTGGCTGCCGCTGCACTGCCAGCATGAGACCCACATACCCCTTGAACTGCGCTCGCTCAAATGCCTGCACCGGGTACGTTGTTACCTAGGGCCAGAAGATTGCAGGAGTTTTGGATGGGAAAAAGTGGGGGTGGGGTTGGGGGTGAGATTGGGGTGGGAGAGTGGAGGACTGAAGGAGTTCTGGAACTAGGAAACGATACACCTGTCCTTCCTCCATGTCAGGCGATGCCTCAAAAGATCAGCAACAAATCTCTGGGCGTCAAGCGCTGACATAAAAGCTGAGCAAAGTTATTACCGGAAACTTGCTTAGCTGGTCCTATGAGCTGCCTTTGCTACAATTTCTGGAGTCTGGAGCGGAAAAGCAAGTAGAGTAATATACCCTCCACACAGTTCACAACAATATAATACTCATGACTATATCCTCCCCGCATCATACATACCATACCATACCATGTCCTCGTGCTGTTTTGCCTTACCAGGTCACTATCCCCTGTGAGCCCACTGGAGGTATCGAGAGCCACGAGCGTCTCAAAGGCGTGGGTGGGAGAGCCGCCAGCGGAGCACTTGTCGGAGTCGGAGAGCCCCATGAGGGCGAAGAGACCCTCCACTGCCAACCGGGGAGCGCTCTGGTGCTTTGCAATGCCGTATGCCGCCTCCACACTCGCCACCACCGCATACGCCCAGCACGCATCTGAGAGGAAGGCGACGGCGAAGCAAGATGAAGCATACAATAATGATGGAGTGATGAAGATAGGCTGCACATTGTGTTGTATTTGGGTTACGAGATTCTTTATAGGGTTTGATTGAACCAGTATAGCATAGATCTCTCATTTCCAGCCTTTGTAACGTAATTAAACCACATCTTTTACAGTTCATAGACTTTCATGGAGTTCTCTTCCGATTTCCCCTTCTCCATTGAATCCCTCTTGATGTGCCGTACTTAAGGCTGAGAGCCGTTTATGCAGAAGATGCAGGTTCAATGGCATTTCCTGTGTAAAGGTGGCACAAACTACAGTAAACAATAAACAAAGCGTTAACTGACAATGATTTAGGAATGCAACACACTAAATTCAATGCTGTTTTTGTTTGCAGTTGATTGATCATAGACAGCATAACGGGATGGGAAAGGCGTCTCGGACAGTGAAGTGGATACCCACAATTCTATTTCCACTCACTGCAGGTTGCTTGGTTCTTGACAGGCCAGTTGAGGAAGGGCACGGAGTCCCACGTGTGGAAGTCACGAATGCTCCACGAGTCCGCTCTGGTGGCCGACAGCTTGAAGTCCGCACTCACATAGCGCGAAAATGGGCTGGCTCGAGATGGTGCAAATGTAGCCTGTGACAGTGAGAGGCCAAGGGCTGTGAGGGGCGGGAAGGGTTGGACATGTGGATGAAAACAGGGTAGAAATTACGAGTAGATTGGTTAGATTGAAGTCAATCACTGACAACCCAGCATGGCGAACGGCCTTAGTGAGTAGATAAGAAGCATTGCAATCAGAGCAGTGTATTGCACCTTCTGGTGGCCATGCAGAGAAGGTCACACATGAAAAAGTTGCAAATCTAGTTGTGTTTGGTGTAGGTATGGAGAATGGGGATCCTTGGTGAGGTGGACTAGATCCTTGGGGAGAAGCGAGAGCCACCGAGTTTCTTGAGCTGCCATAGTGCTGGCTAGACATGAGCAAGTAGGCAAGATTTATTTCCTCGGCTCGTCCACTAAAACAACCTCACCGCTGACCTAGGCCAAAAAAACTCGTCCTAGGCCAAAACTACTCGTCCAAGACGCAGGACGCGTCTTTCGCAACATAGCTTCTAGCGACTCACACTGGTAGACAGCTAGGATAATGTGGTGGTAGTTCTGCCAGTAGCTCACTAACAACAGACCAGGATGGCGTGGTGGGAAATGTATGGACAAAAAGTGGAACACGCCGTAACCTACAAAAATGTTTCAAGGGATGGTGCAGGTTGCTAATAGGTTGTGGTTGCCAAATGACTGGGAGCTCACCTTGCTCTTTGACCTCGACTGGCTTTGGTGAAGGAACGCCTGTGGAGAGGGACACACGTTGAAAGAGAAGCACAGAAGCCATAGAGTGTTCATTGGGTATTGGATAAGAGAAAGCACCACATGAGTGGGCAGGAGTGGCAAGACAATGCTTGTTAGCTACCACTGTCATCATCTCCATAATGGCCTCGCCATGGCAGGTGCCACCATCATCATCAGTACCTGGTCCGACAGACCACCACAAATAAAAACCCCATCCTACTGTATGGTTCATTAGGCATTGGCAATGCTCAAAGCGGATTTGGTTCAGGGTGTCAACCAACTGGGTGGTCGAACCAAACCCAAAATTGGAACTACCGGCTGATTTCGATCTCATTCTGACCCATCATTGAAATGGTGCCCGGCTACAAGGAATTAATAAAAACCATGCGATCAAACTGGATTACTGGGGATTGGTAAGAATGAAGAGAGATGCAAAGCTGTAGCTTAAACGTCCTTTTTTTATCCTAGAAGCCATCAGTACCAGCAAAAAACCACCACCTCCACCACCACCACCACCCCCACCCCATCATCAAGGCAGTCAGCTCAGCATCACCACAGATGCCCCACGATAACCTTGCCTGTTTTCACAGTCGAGGAGGTAATGACTTGCATCAGGAAGGGCTTCACAGTGGTGGACGCCACGAAGCCAAAGAAGAACGCTTGCTGCTTCACTCCAGGCTGCAGCACCCCACACAGCGACACCCTCCCCTGCACCACCGGCTCCTCCGGTTTCACGTTTGAGTTTGCCAGGAACACTTGAATGGTGCTGGGATTTCCAGGCTCATAATCCACCCACACAGTGTATGCATTGCCATCGGTGAAAGCGAACGGTGACACCTCCGTGACCAAGGGTTCCTCTGTGCCGTTGATGCTCAGCCCCACGTGCTGCTCGCCCGCATCATCCTGAGGTGTGTTGAAGACAATGGCCAGGCTCCGAGGTCCCACTCCACGATACCCCACACCTCCAGCCTTCCCCACCTTGGGCTTTGCTGCAATCACAAATGCAAAGCCGTTCGACCCGGCAGTACCAGACTGGAGCATCACAGAAAACGTGAAGTTGACTTTGAAGGCCAACTCAAAGCCGCACCCCGATGTCACACCACGCGGGTAGAAGAACAAGGCCACTGGCTTCGGCATGAACTTCCCCACTGTTTTCTGCTGAGTGCCTTTGGTGAGCACCGTGAATGGTGGGAAAATACTTCCTTGGAAGCCTGGAGAGTTGCAATGAAAGGGCAGCAGCGCATGGGGAAGGATGTGTTAAAATATATATATTGTAGCATGCCAACACATGTGACTGTACACCAATTGTGGTGTACAGTTGGGTTGGGACTACACCCAACTTTGGGTGTAGTCTTGCACTTTGGGGTGCCAATCCACCCAATTGTGGTGGAGCCCCCAAATGCAACCCTCTTGACTTGTGGGTGCCTCACTTCCCACAATTGAGGTTCCCCCAAGCCAAGTGGGCCTAGGGTTGCCTCACTTCCACAAAGTATGGGCAACCCAACCCACTTGACCTATGGTTCCCTCATCTCCCCAAGTGAGGTCAACCCAACCTATGGTCACTTTGATCCTTCTCTCCCATCCTTTCCATCCAACTTCAACTTCCAACTATGTATGCTAGGTTGCCTCTCTAATCCAATTACTTGTTCAATTTGCTACTTTCACAGGATGGGGAGTTGTGGAACAACAGAATGTGTGTGCTAGACCGTGCAAACCAGATTACGTGGTCATCTCTATAGGTTGGCCTTTGTAGTTTTGGAGCCTGCCTAAGTTGTTTTGCTGTAGGGATGAGCAAGGTGGCGAACACCTGTTCGGTTCGCCTCGAACACGTTCGAGTCGAACCGAACAGGTTTTGTTTTTTAGCTCAAATCGTTCGCCGAACAGTGTTCGATGTTCGCCCGAACACGTTCGTGTTCGGGCCGCTGCTGAAATTTGCCCGCGACGAACACGAACAGTGTTCGAGGTTCGCCCGAACACGCCTCCACAGGCGAACAGCGAACACCTGTTATTTCCTAAACTGTTCGCCGAACCGAACAGTGTGCGTTTCGGCAAAAGAGGGTGTTCGACAAGGGGTGAAGACGAACATGTTCGTGTTCGCCCTTTGCTCATCCCTATTTTACTGTGTGTTGCACCCATGATTCAACAAGCTCAACAACCATGTGTGTGAATAACCTGGGGAAAATGGAGCCAAGCGTGGGTAAGCCAATGTGTGCAAGTTATAAAGTAGAGGAAAATGCAATGAAGTGCAGAAGGGAAGGAGCATGAACTGTGAGGACCTTAAAGCCAGTGTTCTATGACTTTAAAAGCATGTTCCAACTGTTCATTACCTCCTGGAATAGTAATACAGTTAGTTCTTTCAAACTGCACCAATCCCGCACCACACAGGCATGTTGGCACCAAGCTGGGCCCATCTAGGTAGCACACGCCACGACCACCACAGGCAGCAGTGGTTGGAGAGATGCCACAGAACGCCATGCACTGTGCTGCAGGCCGCTGATTGGCAGGTTCACAGGCTTTGTTTGGTGCAAAGCAGTTGGCGACGATGGTGTGTTGACGGCAGTCACGTCCGGACACAACACCCGATAGGTAGTTGCTGGAGAGGTCCGCTATGATGACGAATGGAAGCTTCACATAGGGGCCTGTGAGGTAGTTGCGGGAGACATCACTGCCAGGGGGAGGGTAGGAAAACAAAGATGATAGAAGAGGATAACAAAGGGGAGCGGTCAGTGGAGAGCATGGATCTGGACTCGCAACAAGAGGAGGAGATATGGCAAAGAGAGGAGAAGCAGATTCTGGAGCACAGTCTATAAAAGATGGACTTCAAGATCATCTATTGTACTAGCAATGTTTCTAAGGGCCCCATGACCGTCAATATCATAGCATGTGCATGGCATGTAAAAGATGGACTTCAATGTCATATACTGTCCTTCGCTCAATGTAGTTGGTTTCTGTGTGTTATCACTTTGGCTTTGGATGCCAAAGTGATCCTTCATAACAGGCAGCGGCACAGAGGGGATTCACAAGGATATTAGAGACCAGCAGCTAGGTGAAACCCAACAGCTGTCTTCATGAGCCAACAAGCTCAACACTTTAAAATATTTCACTAGAAAAGGAGACACAGGGGAGGGGGGAGGGGTGTGAGGTGGCTAGGATACAAAGGCTTTGCACATGGAGTAACATTATGGACACGAGCAATGAACGAAACTTGGAATGGTTGAGAGCAAACAGATTTGCCTCGAACCAACCAAGGCCTCCTTATCATCCATCTGCTTCAGGATGGATTGCAGAAGTTCGACTTGAATCCCTTCAGGTTCGAACATGAATATTTACGCGTCGATTCGTGAGCTGTTCGGGCTATTTCGACCAAAAGAAGAAGTAATTCGGATCCAAACCTGTTCGGGTCCAGGACTTGCTCATGCCTCACAGGATACGCAGGTTTTTAAGGTTGCCTATTGCAGTGGGAATCGTGCCACTCAGTTTATTGCTAGAAAGAGACCTGCCACGATGAGCAAAAACGGGCATGCAGAGAAGATACAGGAAGCTCAAGCTTGTATGATAACGAAGTAATGTTGTTGGGAGGAGAAATACAAGAAAATGCAAGAGAGGCATGAAAGGCAGTGCGATGGACATTGTCTGTCTGTACAGACAGTGGCAGGGGATGGATGTGGGCAGGAGTCGAGAAACACGAGTTCTTAGCGGAGAGGTTGGTGGCCATCGTAGCTGATGCGAGTGGTAAGAAAAGATTGGAAAATGGAGTGCATGGCTCAGGAATAGCAATGAAAGATGGAGGAACGGCGAAGAGTAGCGAGGAGAAGAGCCTGGAGTACATCCGAGCAAAGGCCTTGTTTGGGGCCTACAGAGAGTATAGTTGTGCGAGGTTGCCGATTGCAGCAGGAATTGTGCCACTGAGCTGGTTAAAAGAAAGTACTCTGCAACAACGAGCACGAATGGGCATGTGGTAGATATAGGAAGCTCAACTTTGCATGCCAACGAGCAACGGATAGGAGCAACAGCTCCACTGGTGGCGAAATCCCTGAGATGCAATGGAGGCATGAAACGCAGCATGATGGACATTGCCCTTGGGATGTGTGCTGATACTGGCAGGGGGAAGATGGGGGCAGGAGCAACGTGCACTTTGTGTGCCCCAAGGAGTGTCATCAACATATAGAATGGCCCTGGGAGCGAGAGGCGGAAAGTTGATAGGAAGACTGGAGAAGGAAGGAAAGAGGAAGAACAGAGGGATGATGCAGAGAGTGTCGTGAAGGGAAGAAGACAGTGATGCAAGAAATATGCTAAGACATTGAGGTTTTGGGATTGGAAAGAATGGAAGGTTAAAGTAGGAATGGGAGCAAAGCATGAAGGGATGTGTGAAAAACTATTGAGCAAGATCTTTCAAGAGGGACAGGAAAGAACCGGGGACAGAATGTAGGAAATGGGGCTTACGCTCGTAAAAGGGTTTGAAAGAGTGCTTTGCCAGTTGCCCGGAACCTGAGACCAACAGGCACTCTAACCCTCGGCTCTAGAGAGCTGTGTGGCTTCAGTCTCGCTTACCAACCGGCACAAAGGTGTTAGCCAGAGTCGTGTCATACTCATTTCCCTGTTCGTGACAGACACTGCAGTGAGTGGTCAATCGACACCCCAAAACAACTTCTACCTTACACTCCACAATCACATGCTCTTGTCGCATGCACACTACTAGTATCAAGACCACCGATACAGCGAGGAGAGGTTGGTGATCAGGAGCTGATGCAAATGGATAAGAAATAAGAGGGGGAAATGGAGTGCATGGGTCAGGAATAGAATTGAAGGGAAGAAAAACGGCGGAGAGTAGCGAGGAGAACCTGGAGTACAGCCAAGCAAAGGCCTTGCTCGGTGCTTACAGATTGTCCAGTCCTGCAAGGTTGCCGATTGCAGCAGGAATTGTGCCACTGAGCTGGTTCTCAGAAAGTTCTCTGCAAAGATGAGTTTGAATGGGCATGTGGTAGATATAGGAAGCTCAACTTTGCATGCTAACGACCAACGGATAGGAGCAAGCAACTCTGTTGGAAGGCGAAATCTCAGAGAATGCAACAGAGGCATGAAAGGCAACACGATGGACATTGATGGAAAAAAAGAAAGACAGAGGACAGAAGAAGGAAAAGAAAAATATTGATCTCGATCAACCTGATCCTGTGAATGTCCTACACCTCATTTGTCTGCTATACCAAAACTTTGTCGCGAAAGAGCGACGATTTTTTTTTTATGCCCGACAAAAAAACGTGGGAATAGGCTAGAGTTTGCTCGGATTTGTGTTGTAGTACTGCCTTGTGATTTGTCTATTTTTAAAGCATAGTACACTTTAAAATTTAAGTTCAGGTTTATTTTGAAGCTTTTGCTCTAAACAAAAACACCCTGAGGTTGGTTAGGGTTTCCCAACCTCCTTGATGTATCTCGACAAAACTCTCTAGTCCAATTCTTCAACTTGTCAACCTAACTACCTACTCTATTAGGCTCTTATTGTAGCAGTGGCCATGATATGGCAAAAAAAAAAAAAAAAAAAAAAAAAAAAAAAAAAGAGTGAGAGCTTACTTTGCATGCTTTCAGCAACAATTCACTAGCCATGGGTGTTTCGGTTCGGACCGTATGCTGTTCAGAGTGGTTCGGTTCGAAATGGTTTGGTTCGTTCGACTATGCCCACGAAATTGAGCAGGTTTGACTTGAACCAGCTCAAGTCTGTAGTTGACCACCTACTTACAGTTGCTCCAGTCTCGTAAGGGTGCCGATTTCAGTAGGGATTGAGCCACTGAGCTGATTGCTGTCAAGAAATCTGCGACAATGGACAAAGATGGACACAGGTCAAGAATAGCACCAACGAGAAATGGTGGAGAGGAGGGAAGATATGAGAGCACAGCCAAGTGAAGGCCTTGCAGGGTGACTTAAAGGTATCCCAAGTTTGCAAGGTTGTTGATGTCAGAAAGCATTGAGCCATGTATTCTAATCCTTTTTTTTTACTAGCTTACCTACCTGCTCATTTTCGACTCTCCTAGGGTTGTCTTAACATGCTGTCTGAAGCTACATCCTCAGCAACAAAGGCTATCTCCACAGTGGGCTCCTTCCTCACAGCAGCCATACGAGCCAGGTGCCACATCCAGCACAAGCTCAGCCCCGTTTTGTGGCGGAGACCTTGAGCACTGACAGCGTCAAACGCTACCACTTAGGGGTTCGCACGAAAGTTGGAGATATGAGTACTGCAAGGGCCGCATCCCGCCATTCCTGAGCATCCCGCCAACCCTGGGCGCAGAGGAAAGGCTGACGAGCCCGTCAGGACAAGGGCTCGGGAGGCGATTGGTTGAGCGCTGTCCGCCGTGCAATCCCGCGGCGGGTCGTGTTCACCAGGTGGTTCCATTACGACTGAGGAGTGAGCCGAGGACGCCAATAGTCCGACGGGGGGAGGGGCGGGAGATGTAGCCCCACCTCGGCTAGAGCTACGCCAAGGGGGGGACAAGGCAAACGAGCAGCTAGTTTGCTCTAGTTGCGGATCCTATGGGGACGAGGCGCTGGGGGTGATGAATCGTTTGGTGCCAAGAATGACAAGAAATCCGCGGGTGACCCAGCTTTTATCCCCGATAAAGAGGCTTCACAATCCAGGCTTCACCCCAAATATGAAGCGCGACAGGAACCTGAGCCGTACATACGAATCGGGAGACAGATTCCCCAACCAATGAGGAGCAGTCTAGGCCAGTCCCAACCCATCCAATCCTACACCCTGGCGACCATGCCTCCCGCCAATATCTCTTCGACAGCAACTCCACCTAGGACTCGGTCTCGCTTCGCAACAGTCACCAGCCAACCCTTGCCCGACACCCCCACTCGCCCATCGCGAAGCCTTTGTGGCCTGTTTGCTGACACCCTAGCTTGCGACCGATCCAACCTCAACCTTGATGGAGGTTACTAATGTTCCTCCCGCGCTTGCTTCTTCCCACCTCGTCAGCCCGCCGCCCTGACTTGCCTTGCAAGCGATGGGGGACAGAATCATTCCCTTCCACCAAGTTTTAGCGGCAAAACTATACTACGAGGAGGTCAGTGCTCTCACATCACCATCGCCATGTTGACACTAGGGATGCCTTGCAGTTGCTGAAGGACTCGCCAAACAAGGCAACCTGGGCGAAATTCCTTTAGTCCACGCTGCTAGGAGACGTGCAGGCAGCACTGGGTTCCCGACACCTTGCTGCCTCAACACCCCTCTTGGACTGGATTCCCACCCTGCTGCCCAAGATCTCCGCCGCCTTCTGACCAAGTGCCCAGATGGGGTCAGTGCTGGTCCGTTAGGGACCACCTTTGAACATCTCTATGACGCGGTCCTCAGGAACGCGGATGTGTTCCAACATCCACACAGCCCACGCCGGTAAATTGAGCACAGAAGCGGCAGATTTGCTTACCGCCTCACCTAGAATTGTGCGGCGATGAGGCTATACTATCGAATCCACTTTCGACTCAGCCGTCCTACCCACTGTGGCAGGAATATATAGCTCCACCGTGTCAACGGGAGTTGGGTGTTGGCGCCGTCCTCACTTGGGCGGAGCCGACTTCGTGGCCAGGTGTGCGGGAGGTGTAGCCGACCGACTACAGTGGGCGACGCTGACTTGGGGCGAGCAGGTCGACAGGCTTGGTCGAGCTGCACGGGGCCACTGCGAAGCCGCCGACGACGGGAAGCCGGCGGCCGACTTCAACTGTGGTCGATCTGGAGTTGGTCGACTTAAAAAGTGGCCAACTTGGTGAAGTCGACTGGTGGTCGTCGACTTGGGTGGTTGACGAGCGCGTACAGTAGTATGTCAACTTCTACCGAACAAGTTGACGCCGACTTACTGGTTTCCCCGTCGATCAAGTTACCAGGGCAACGAGTTTGTGCGGGGTGCGCGATTGTCGCCAGATGGTTTGCGGCAAAGTCGACCTCGGAGTGGTATCCCAAAGTCGACGTGGCTCATCAGGCACAAACAACGGCATGTGGCCGCCTTGGCACCTGCGCTATGCACGTGACGGTGCGCGTCGCACCAACTGACTACGAGCACCTGCGAAGTAGGTGCACTGTTGTCATTTGCGGGTGTAATGCTGGACAGCCGCCTTGCTGCAGCGTTGGCACGCCGTCGACTTGCAGTGTTGGCGAGCCGTCTTTCTGCAGCGCTGAAGAGGTGCGGACTTTGCAGCGCTGGAACATCGACCTTCTGCGCTGGAAGTCGACCTGCTTGCTTGCTAGGCAGACTTGCTTCTCATGTAGTCAACTTAGCCAACGTTATTGCAACCACTGTGTAATTCTTTTGCTAGAGAAACACGCAAGGGACGTTGCGATCACTCACACAACCGTGCCTTACCCCGTAGTCTAGCTCCCGTTGTAGAGTTGCTCTCCGCACACCGTGCTTTCCTGTTCTTGCTCCTAAGATGCGCCTCTTGTTCTTCCACCAGGTGCTCCGGTTGCCGTGCCTCTAATTGTTGGTACCCAGTCGGCACCCGCCCTTCCTTTAACTTTGGTCGTGGCTGTGCAAGTGCCGGTGGTAACCATAGAAATGACAGATTTTGCGCTTGTACAAGAGTAGAGCACACCGCGGGCGAACTTCGCAGTACAGGCGACCTCGGGGTTCCGCACTCCCCGGCGGCTCATGGTGGCTGGACTTTGCTCTTGGGTTCGTCTTGCGCTTGAGACGCTTGGGCAGTTGTGGCTTCTCTCCATAAGCTGCCACTGACTAAAGTTGGTCCCAAAACATGGGAAGCGCCAGAAGTGTCGAAGGTGGCTGGTAGGGCTCGAAAAGCAGGTAGGGCACGTTGCGGGCGTGCCAGTGCCGGGTGGGGCTGTCCAGCATCTACCCCTGCTCGCTGGCTTGGGACTGTTGCAGATTCAATCCAGAAGTCAATGCTATTGACGTCAGCGTATAACTGGCTCATTAGTCGTGGAAGGCCATGGCAGGCATGCTTGTCGCGCTAGGGGTGGAGGCCATGGTGTAGTCGTGGTCTGCCGCGTGCATTGTTGCCCCATCTTGTGTGCTAGACCTCTTGCATTGGTGTTGATGCCATCTAGGGATGAGCAAAATCCCGAACGCCTGTTCGGTTCGCCTCGAACATGTTCGAAGCGAACCGAACAGGCATTTTTTTTTGCCTAAATGGTTCGGGCCGAACATGTTCGGTGTTCGGCCGAACATGTTCGACGTTCGCCCAAGGAGTTCGGCTATCCAAGCCAAACACGAACATGTTCGTGTTCGACTTGGGGGCCACGCGAACACCAAAAATGTTCGCGTCAAAAATTGGCCGCGACCAGATTTAGGTCGCGGCCAATTTGTGTTTGAGCTCATTTCGTGAGCTCAAACTCAGAAGTCGTTTTCGCCTTAGCGCTCCCTCACACAGCCGCCTTAGACTCCTTGTTCTAGGTGCAAGCAAGTGCACTCTGAACACTTGAACCCTAAACGGACATTAGATAGATAGATCTATGCATAGGGTTTAACGTAGTGTAGGGAGTTTAGGGTTACTATTAAGGTTCAGCGAGCATCTCCGCAAAGGGCTCAAGTAGGGCGTATCCTACGCCGTAGGATTCGGATCGGGCATTAGGAACGTGCGGCACCATCCAACGCTACCGTTGCAGGAAGGGTGTTTTAGGGTTTAGGGTCGAGGGCGGAGTTATGGCTTCCAGGGCTGGTGGATCCATAGGCCGAGGTGCAGGCAGGGCTCAGGGCAGCGCACCGGGATCTCCACCACGACCTATGCAGGGGCGAGTAGGGGATGGACCGGGAGGAGCCGGCGCGATCTTCGTTGGGGGGTTGCTTACTGTACCGGCGCCGACCTCTCGTCGCTCTTTCCGTTACGATGGCCCTCGACCCCCTCTTTCGGGGCAGACGCCGACGCAGCCGGAGAGCGGCAGTGAGGAGGAGGATGAGGAGGAGGATGGTGAGGGCGAGAAGGAGGAGGACACTGAGGGGAGCGGGGATGATAGCGAGGCGGCGTGGGACCCAGAGACGCATGGCGGTGGGGAGGGGGGAGATGATGATGATGAAGACCACGAGATGGATGGGTTGGAGCCAGAGGGGCGGGAGGAGGAGGTGGGAGAGGGTGGTGGAAGGGCGGCAACAGAGGCGGGATCACAGCATGTGCGTGAAGGGGGAGGGAGCGTGGGGGTTAAGGTGGGGGGGAGAAAGGCCGTGACCATTAGGGAGCCGAGGCAGAGGAAGAAGGCCAACAAGTTGAGGGAGCGGGCGTATCCCTGCACGTTCACTGGGGAGCCCTTGGGCGAGGGTGTGATTGCTCCCGAGTTCCTAGACGAGGACGGAGGGTCTGAGAGTAGTAAGGGGACTGGCAAGGGTAATAGGAAGCCGGGGTGGCAAGTAATGATGTTCGGACCGTTAGGGGCAGACGATAAGCGTCAGTGCAAGATTTGCACAGACAGGATTTCGTGGAACCAATCCACAACAACCCCCGGCGAGCGGCACTTTGCGAGCTTCCACACTGCGCACATGCATGTGTGGCATCACCGTTACCACACCCTGTCCGTTCACTTGCCAGGGGAAACGTTTCCACGTGGGGGCTACAAGGGAGTGCAGGATGGCTACGTCTATCAGTGGCCACATGCCAAGACTTGGCCGCAGCTCGCCAAGGGGAAAGGGATGGCGACTGGTGGAGGTCATGGGTAAGGCGGGATGGAGCGGTGGATGACAACCAAACTGACCTCGGAGCAGCTACGGCAGGCGATCACGAAGCTGGTGGTCACCTGCGACCTCCCCTTCCGCATCGTCGAGGTCGAGGCTGTAAGTGCCCCATCCCATCCCATGCATGATTGGGCAAGTATGTGGTTAGTGGACGGGTCTGTCCCTTTGTGTGTTGACTGTTTGCGTGTGGCCCAGTGCAGTGTTATATTATTTTCATTCCATCCCCTTGACGTTTACTCCCCTCTCCCCCCTTGTCTCTACCCCTCTCCAGTTTCGTGAGCTACTCATCCTGCTAAACCGCGACTGCGCGCAGAAGAACTTCATCCCCTCGCGCTGGACGGTTTCCCGCGATACAGTGGTCTATGCGGCTGCCGCTCTTCAGTCAGCCATTGCGGAGATGGTGGCGAAGGAGGGGGAGCTGGGGTGCAGGGTGTCGTTCACCATCATCGACATGTGGACGTCGCCCAACAACAGGGCGTGGCTAGTGGTAACGGGTCACTGGATCGACGAGAATTACCTGCTGCGCACAATGGTGTTTGCATTCTGCGAGATTCTCGGGCGTCACACGGGCAAGCAGATGACGAGGGTGGTTGAGGAGACTGTGGTGCAATGGGGGTTGGAGACGCGTTGTTTTGGGTTCACCTCGGACAACGCCTCCAGCAACACTGCCGCTTTCAGGTGGATGTCGGAGGAGGGTGATGGCCAGTGCTTCTTCAACTCGCGCATGCACTTCCGGTACGAAAGGGTGTGTGCGTGGGCTGTGCGATGAGGGAGTCTGGGTGCGTCGTTCCTGTGATGTGAACATGTTGTGGTTGTAGTACAGACGAGTGGGCCTATGCGGCTTGAGAGTGGTAGTGTTTCTCGGATCTATGGCAATGTGTACTCACACTTCCCTTTCTCTCCGCCATGAATGTTTTGTGATGTGTGCAGATGCCTGGCACACGTGATCAACCTTGCAGTGAAGGCAGCACTCGCTGTGACCGCCATCTGCAAGTTGCTGAAGATTCTGAGAGAGATGGCGTCGTGGATAGGCTCGCCGCAGCGCTCAGGGAAGTTCTTGGGCCTTCAGCGGACCCTGAACGCGCAGAAAAACTATTGAGCAAGATCTTTCAAGAGGGACAGGAAAGAACCGGGGACAGAATGTAGGAAATGGGGCTTACGCTCGTAAAAGGGTTTGAAAGAGTGCTTTGCCAGTTGCCCGGAATCTGAGACCAACAGGCACTCGAACCCTCCGCTCTAAAGAGCTGTGTGGCTTCAGTCTCGCTTACCAACCGGCACAAAGGTGTTAGCCAGAGTCGTGTCATACTCATTTCCCTGTTCGTGACAGACACTGCAGTGAGTGGTCAATCGACACCCCAAAACAACTTCTACCTTACACTCCACAATCACATGCTCTTGTCGCATGCACACTACTAGTATCAAGACCACCGATACAGCGAGGAGAGGTTGGTGATCAGGAGCTGATGCAAATGGATAAGAAATAAGAGGGGGAAATGGAGTGCATGGGTCAGGAATAGAATTGAAGGGAAGAAAAACGGCGGAGAGTAGCGAGGAGAACCTGGAGTACAGCCAAGCAAAGGCCTTGCTCGGTGCTTACAGATTGTCCAGTCCTGCAAGGTTGCCGATTGCAGCAGGAATTGTGCCACTGAGCTGGTTCTCAGAAAGTACTCTGCAAAGATGAGTTTGAATGGGCATGTGGTAGATATAGGAAGCTCAACTTTGCATGCTAACGACCAACGGATAGGAGCAAGCAACTCTGTTGGAAGGCGAAATCTCAGAGAATGCAACAGAGGCATGAAAGGCAACACGATGGACATTGATGGATAGATGGAGGAGGGCAGAAGAAGGAAGGGAAAAATATTGATCTCGATCAACCTGATCCTGTGAATGTCCTACACCTCATTTGTCTGCTATACCAAAACTTTGTCGCGAAAGAGCGACGATTTTTTTTTATGCCCGACAAAAAAATATCGATGTCATATTTTGAAAAACAGTGAGGAAAAAATATCTTTTCCTCGTGTGTAACTACCGACTCAAATTTGGATATGCTTAATTCAACCAACCTAAGGTTTTTACATGAGCAATGCTCGAACTCAGTCATCATCGTGAACTCCCATTAGCCATGACTCGAACATGTTTGTGAACACCCCTTAGCCACGAGCCGAACATGTTCACTTCGTTGCGAACCTTACTTCTCATGGGTGAAGACCTCACTGTTCGTCGCAAACTCAAACATGTTCGGTCCGCAAAGGGGATTTTCCCTATAGTGGCAACTGAACTAGAACCCATTTAGTCTCAAACTAGAAAACTACCGTAAGCTTTCAATCTGAAATGGTTTGGTTCATTCGACTATGCCCACGACTTCGAGCAGTTTGACACGAACCATCTCATGTTCTGTACTTGCTCACCACCTACTTACAGCGTCTGCAGGTTCGTAAGGGTGCTGATTGCAGTAGGGATTGAGCCACTGAGCTGATTGTTTTGAAGAAATCTGCGACAATGAACAAGGATGGACATGGGTCAGGATAAGCATCAAGGGGAAAAATGGTGGGGAGGAGAAAGGAAGATATAAGAGCACACCGAAGAAAAGGCCTTGCAGGGTGGATTATAGGTTTGCAAGGTTGCTGATTTCGGAAACAATTGAGCCTTGTATCCTACACCAAACCATTGACTCGCTTACCTACCTCCTCTAACATGGGCAGACGACCCTGTTGGTTGGAGTAACCCGACCCGTCACGACTTTTGGCCGGGTCGGGTTAGAGATACTGATGCCCTCCCAGCCAGGGTCGGGTCGACCCGATACGCGAAAGGGGTTATTTTCTTCGGGTAATGCTGACTCGTCGGGTCGACCCAACCCGAAATCGGGTCAAGATACAGAACTCGTCGAGCATGAAAAAAGGGAGAAAAAAAAAAACAAAACAAAACAAAACAACGGCTTGATAAAAACAAAAAAGACATTGGGGAGAGAAAGAACTAGGTCAAATTTGAATTTGTAACCCAAAGCCCACAGATTTGTTCACAACTTCGTCTCCAACCAATCCCCCCTCCCGTAACCGAAATCACTGCACTGAATCCAAAAAAACCACCCAATTTGAGATCTGAAATTTTGACAGCCAAATGAAGAACAAGATCTAGAAGTTCTAGGTCTCGATCAACTTGATCCCATCAATGTCCTACAACTAATTTGTCAGCTATACCAAGTTTTTGCGCTAATTTTTCGTGCCGAAAAGCAGAACATCAGTTACATCGATTGATACACAGTGAGGTTATTTTTTCTTTTCCTCATGTGTAGCTGCCCGACCCGATTTCGGGTATGCTTGATCCAACCAACTAGAGATGAGCAACCAGCCCGGCCCGACCCGACCCGACCCGACTTGGCCGGGCCACACAGGCTGCCGGGTCGGGTCGGGTCGGGTCAGGCTCGGGCCAGATTCCAGACTGTTCTGGCCCGACCCGGGCCCACACACTCGGGTCAACTTGGACCCGGGTACGGGTCGGGTCGGGTCGGGCCAGGATGACTCGCCCATGTTTGGGGTGCAGTAAGGTGTGTGTTCGTGAACGTTTTTTTGGTTACAGTGTATAACAAGTTTGCTGTGGGAGTAGGCTAGAGTTTGCTCGGATTTGTGTTGTAGTACTGCCTTGTGATTTGTCTATTTTTAAAGCATAGTACACTTTAAAATTTAAGTTCAGGTTTATTTTGAAGCTTTTGCTCTAAACAAAAACACCCTGAGGTTGGTTAGGGTTTCCCAACCTCCTTGATGTATCTCGACAAAACTCTCTAGTCCAATTCTTCAACTTGTCAACCTAACTACCTACTCTATTAGGCTCTTATTGTAGCAGTGGCCATGATATGGCAAAAAAAAAATAAAACAAACAAAAAAAAAAATAAAAAAAAAGAGTGAGAGCTTACTTTGCATGCTTTCAGCAACAATTCACTGGCCATGGGTGTTTCGGACTATGGATGAGCAAAGGGCGAACACGAACATGTTCGTCTTCGCCCCTTGTCGGACACCCTCTTTTGCCGAACCGAACACTGTTTGGTTCGGCGAACACTTTAGGAAAAAACAGGTGTTCGCTGTTCGCCTGTGGAGGCGTGTTCGGGCGAACCTCGAACACTGTTCGTGTTCGTCGCGGGCAAATTTCAGCAGCGGCCCGAACACGAACGTGTTCGGGCGAACATCGAACACTGTTCGGCGAACGATTTGAGCTCAAAAACAAAAATTGTTCGGTTCGCCTCGAGCCACCTTGCTCATCCCTATTTCGGACCGTATGCTGTTCAGAGTGGTTCAGTTCGAAATGGTTTGGTTCGTTCGACTATGCCCACGAAATTGAGCAGGTTTGACTCAAGTCTGTAGTTGACCACCTACTTACAGTTCCTGCAGTCTTGTAAGGGTGCCGATTGAAGTAGGGATTGAGCCACTGAGCTGATTGCTCTCAAGACATCTGCGACGATGGACAAGGATGGACACAGGTCAAGAATAGCACCAACGAGAAATGGTGGAGAGAAGGGAAGATATGAGAGCACAGCCAAGTGAAGGCCTTGCAGGGTGCTTGAATGTATCCCAGGTTTTCAAGGTAGTTGATGTCAGAAAGCATTGAGCCATGTATTCTAGTCCTAATTTTTTACGACTCTCTTAGGGTTGTCTTAACATGCTGTCTGAAGCTACATCCTCAGCAACAAAGGCTATCTCCACAGTGGGCTCCTTCCTCACAGCAGCCATACGAGCCAGGTGCCACATCCAGCACAAGCTCAACCCCGTTTCGTGGCGGAGACCTTGAGCACTGACAGCGTCAAACGCTACCACTTAGGGGTTCGCACGAAAGTTTGAGATATGAGTACTGCAAGGGCCGCATCCCGCCATTCCTGAGCATCCCACCAACCCTGGGCGCAGAGGAAATGCTGACGAGCCCGTCGGGACAAGGGCTTGGGAGGCGATTGGTTGAGAGCTGTCCGCCGTGCAATCCCGCGGCGGGTCGTGTTCACCAGGTGGTTCCATTACGACTGAGGAGTGAGCCGAGGACGCCAATAGTCCGACGGGGGGCGGGGCGCGAGATGTAGCCCCACCTCAGCTAGAGCTACGCCAAGGGGGGGACAAGGCAAACGAGCTGCTAGTTTGCTCTAGTTGCGGATCCTATGGGGACGAGGCGCTGGGGGTGATGAATCGTTTGGTGCCAAGAATGACAAGAAATCCGAAATGGTTTGGTTCGTTCGACTATGCCCACGAAATTGAGCAGGTTTGACTTGAACCAGCTCAAGTCTGTAGTTGACCACCTACTTACAGTAGCTGCAGTCTCGTAAGGGTGCCGATTTCAGTAGGGATTGAGCCATTGAGCTCATTGCTGTCAAGAAATCTGCGACAATGGACAAAGATGGACACATGTCAAGAATAGCACCAACGAGAAATGGTGGAGAGGGGGGAAGATATGAGAGCACAGCCAAGTGAAGGCCTTGCAGGGTGACTTAAAGGTATCCCAAGTTTGCAAGGTTGTTGATGTCAGAAAGCATTGAGCCATGTATTCTAATCCTATTTTTTTACTAACTTACCTACCTGCTCATTTTCGACTCTCCTAGGGTTGTCTTAACATGCTGTCTGAAGCTACATCCTCAGCAACAAAGGCTATCTCCACAGTGGGCTCCTTCCTCACAGCAGCCATACGAGCCAGGTGCCACATCCAGCACAAGCTCAACCCTGTTTCGTGGCGGAGACCTTGAGCACTGACAGCGTCAAACGCTACCACTTAGGGGTTCGCACGAAAGTTGGAGATATGAGTACTGCAAGGGCCGCATCCCGCCATTCCTGAGCATCCCGCCAACCCTGGGCGCAGAGGAAAGGCTGACGAGCCCGTCAGGACAAGGGCTCGGGAGGCGATTGGTTGAGCGCTGTCTGCCGTGCAATCCCGCGGCGGGTCGTGTTCACCAGGTGGTTCCATTACGACTGAGGAGTGAGCCGAGGACGCCAATAGTCCGACGGGGGGAGGGGCGGGAGATGTAGCCCCACCTCGGCTAGAGCTACGCCAAGGGGGGGACAAGGCAAACGAGCAGTTAGTTTGCTCTAGTTGCGGATCCTATGGGGACGAGGCGCTGGGGGTGATGAATCGTTTGGTGCCAAGAATGACAAGAAATCCGCGGGTGACCCAGCTTAGATCCCCGATAAGGAGGGGAGTTTGACTCCCTCAACTCAAAAGGACGAAGCCAACCCAGTCGTGGGACAAAATCCACTACCCGCACGAAGCTCATCTACAATCCAGGCTTCACCCCAAATATGAAGCGCGACAGGAACCTGAGCCGTACATACGAATCGGGAGACAGATTCCCCAACCAATGAGGAGCAGTCTAGGCCAGTCCCAACCCATCCAATCCTACACCCTGGCGACCATGCCTCCCGCCAATATCTCTTCGACACCAACTCCACCTAGGACTCGGTCTCGCTTCGCAACAGTCACCAGCCAACCCTTGCCCGACACCCCCACTCGCCCATCGCGAAGCCTTTGTGGCCTGTTTGCTGACACCCTAGCTCTACCTTGTGACCGATCCAACCTCAACCTTGATGGAGGTTACTAATGTTCCTCCCGCGCTTGCTTCTTCCCACCTCGTCAGCCCGCCGCCCTGACTTGCTTTGCAAGCGATGGGGGACAGAATCATTCCCTTCCACCAAGTTTTAGCGGCAAAACTATACTACGAGGAGGTCAGTGCTCTCACATCACCATCGCCATGTTGACACTAGGGATGCCTTGCAGTTGCTGAAGGACTCGCCAAACAAGGCAACCTGGGCGAAATTCCTTTAGTCCACGCTGCTAGGAGACGTGCAGGCAGCACTGGGTTCCCGACACCTTGCTGCCTCAACACCCCTCTTGGACTGGATTCCCACCCTGCTGCCCAAGATCTCCGCCGCCTTCTGACCAAGTGCCCAGATGGGGTCAGTGCTGGTCTGTTAGGGACCACCTTTGAACATCTCTATGACGCGGTCCTCAGGAACGCGGATGTGTTCCAACATCCACACAGCCCACGCCGGTAAATTGAGCACAGAAGCGGCAGATTTGCTTACCGCCTCACCTAGAATTGTGCGGCGATGAGGCTATACTATCGAATCCACTTTCGACTCAGCCGTCCTACCCACTGTGGCAGGAATATATAGCTCCACCGTGTCAACGGGAGTTGGGTGTTGGCGCCGTCCTCACTTGGGCGGAGCCGACTTCGAGGCCAGGTGTGCGGGAGGTGTAGCCGACCGACTACAGTGGGCGACGCTGACTTGGGGCGAGCAGGTCGACAGGCTTGGTCGAGCTGCACGGGGCCACTGCGAAGCCGCCGACGACGGGAAGCCGGCGGCCGACTTCAACTGTGGTCGATCTGGAGTTGGTCGACTTAAAAAGTGGCCAACTTGGTGAAGTCGACTGGTGGTCGTCGACTTGGGTGGTTGACGAGCGCGTACAGTAGTATGTCAACTTCTACCGAACAAGTTGACGCCGACTTACTGGTTTCCCCGTCGATCAAGTTACCAGGGCAACGAGTTTGTGCGGGGTGCGCGATTGTCGCCAGATGGTTTGCGGCAAAGTCGACCTCGGAGTGGTATCCCAAAGTCGACGTGGCTCATCAGGCACAAACAACGGCATGTGGCCGCCTTGGCACCTGCGCTATGCACGTGACGGTGCGCGTCGCACCAACCGACTACGAGCACCTGCGAAGTAGGTGCACTGTTGTCATTTGCGGGTGTAATGCTGGACAGCCGCCTTGCTGCAGCGTTGGCACGCCGTCAACTTGCAGTGTTGGCGAGCCGTCTTTCTGCAGCGCTGAAGAGGTGCGGACTTTGCAGCGCTGGAACATCGACCTTCTGCGCTGGAAGTCGACCTGCTTGCTTGCTAGGCAGACTTGCTTCTCATGTAGTCAACTTAGCCAACGTTATTGCAACCACTGTGTAATTCTTTTGCTAGAGAAACACGCAAGGGACGTTGCGATCACTCACACAACCGTGCCTTACCCCGTAGTCTAGCTCCCGTTGTAGAGTTGCTCTCCGCACACCGTGCTTTCCTGTTCTTGCTCCTAAGATGCGCCTCTTGTTCTTCCACCAGGTGCTCCGGTTGCCGTGCCTCTAATTGTTGGTACCCAGTCGGCACCCGCCCTTCCTTTAACTTTGGTCGTGGCTGTGCAAGTGCCGGTGGTAACCATAGAAATGACAGATTTTGCGCTTGTACAAGAGTAGAGCACACCGCGGGCGAACTTCGCAGTACAGGCGACCTCGGGGTTCCGCACTCCCCGGCGGCTCATGGTGGCTGGACTTTGCTCTTGGGTTCGTCTTGCGCTTGAGACGCTTGGGCAGTTGTGGCTTCTCTCCATAAGCTGCCATTGACTAAAGTTGGTCCCAAAACATGGGAAGCGCCAGAAGTGTCGAAGGTGGCTGGTAGGGCTCGAAAAGCAGGTAGGGCACGTTGCGGGCGCGCCAGTGCCGGGTGGGGCTGTCCAGCATCTACCCCTGCTCGCTGGCTTGGGACTGTTGCAAATTCAATCCAGAAGTCAATGCTGTTGACGTCAGCGTATAACTGGCTCATTAGTCGTGGAAGGCCATGGCAGGCATGCTTGTCGCGCTAGGGGTGGAGGCCATGGTGTAGTCGTGGTCTGCCGTGTGCATTGTTGCCCCATCTTGTGTGCTAGACCTCTTGCATTGGTGTTGATGCCATCTAGGGATGAGCAAAATCCCGAACGCCTGTTCGGTTCGCCTCAAACATGTTCGAGGCGAACCGAACAGGCAGTTTTTTTTGCCTAAATGGTTCGGGCCGAACATGTTCGACGTTCGCCCCAGGATTTCGGCTATGCATGATCATCCTGGCCCGGCGGGTCGGGCCGACCCGACCCGACCCGGGTTTTGACCCGGGTCGGGTCAGGCACTTTGAAGGGCTGACCCGGGCGGGTCGGGTCGGGTTTACCCGGCCGGGTCGAGCCGACTTGACACCCGAAACCGGGTCGGGTCGGGTAGGGTCAGTTTTTGACCCGAAATTTGACCCGACTCGACATCGGGTACCGCTCCCTAAGTCGGGTCGGGCCAAATGCCCGACCCGAGTTTCTCTCCCACGACAATTCGAACCTAAACAGATCGCGACGTCAATGTCTTGGGGTTTTTTGGTCCCTCGACATTGAGTTCGATCTGCTACACCTAGGCAACTAGCAATAGCTCGTTCTCAAGCTCTAGAACTCTCTAAACCAGTGCCCATGTTTAGGAACCCTATTTCAAGTGTTTCAATGTTGGCGGAATGGACTTCTTAGCCTAGCGCGACCAACCACAGATTTTCGATTTTATAAACTTAGTTATTCCTAGCTCTCATACGCGTGTAAACTCTGGCCCCGCGTTCAAATCGCCCACTGCGCGCCTACCACGCCCGCATCTTTAGGGACGCGACCCCCAATTGTCTAGGCCTGCGCCATTACAAAAACGTCGCGACTCCAAGGTCCGAAACGTAATAGACGCCGCTTGCACGCGAATGGAGGGGGAAGAAGGCAGCTCACGCGCTATTCGTGGGGCTTCGCTTGGAGGCCTCCCGACACCGGCCTCCAGGGCCAGTTTTCGCTTGGGGAGCGTCTTCAATGGGCAGGAAATTGGGTGGGACGATGCAATCGCGACGAGGAGGCGTGAAGAGGTGCAGGAATGGGAGTCTCAAGGACCTGGCCCAGTGACGGAGGAGCAAGGAACACGGGGAAAGGAGAAGGACCCGGATTGGAGGCCGGCACCAGGGGAGGCGGCCGGCACGAGTGGAGGATCGGGTGATGAGGGTTGGGGAGGGAGAGGAGGGAGCCAGGCTGGTGCCAGCGGTGCAGCAGCAAAGAGGCCACGCACGAGTGGGCCTGTGGGGTCAGGAGCTGGAGGGGCCGGGCCGGCGTCGAATTCGCAGCCGCAGGGGGCAGCCGCGGGTGGTTCTGAGGGGTCGGGCGCAGCAGGGGCAGGTACCTCCGCCGCTGCGGCAGGTGTTGCACCTTTGGGTGGGTCTGCGGGGGCTGGAGCAAGCCAGAGGTCCGACAGGGCGGGCAGGACCCCTACCGATGAGGAGCTGGACCCATGGACTGAGGAGGTGCTTAGGAATGCAGAACCCGGGCTGGTTCGTGGCATGTTCAGTGAGAAGGATGTGAAAGAGGCTAGGAATTGCAAGATTTGCAAGAAGAAGATTAGCTGGAAAGGTAGTTGCACGAGCACGGGGAAGAGACACCTCAAGAGGAGCCACTACCCCAGTCTGCAGATCTGGTGTCGGCGTTTCAAGGATCCAAACAAGCCAGACAACCTGACGTTTCCCGATGGGGGATGGGGTCCGGATGTCCCCGACCAGACAGCGTGGCCTTGGGAGCATGCAGCCACGTGGCCCAGGATTGTACAGACACCAGACAGCGCAGTGACTGGCGGATCCGAGGTTGGTGGGAGTAGGCAGATGAGCATGGCCGCATTCGTCACGCCGCGTGTTCATGGCCAGCAGCTGCGCGAGGGATTGGTGCAGCTATTTGCGGCAGCTGACCTTCCGTTTCGACTTGTTGAGTGTCGCGAGGTGAGTGACGGCGTTCTATTGCCGTTGGTCATGTTCATCTTCGTATTGATGTGGTCATATAAGTGCAGGGCAGCCGCACTGCATTCTGGTGGCTAATCCCGAAGCACCTCATAATCCTTTTACCGACCTCCTTTGACTCCTGCGTTACAGTTCAGAGCATTTGTCCAGATGCTGAACCCGGGAGCTGCGCTACTGCTCGGCTCACGCCATCGCTTGGCACGGGACATGATGGCATACGGGGAGGCTGCTAGGGAGGACATGCGGCAGCTACTGGTGGGTGATGGCCTGGCGGGAAGGATGTCCCTCACCTTTGACATCTGGACCGGTGAGAACAACGTGGCCTTCATGGGGGTGACTGCCCACTATGTCACCAGCGATTTCCTGCTGAAACAGGCTGTTATAGACTTCAGGGAGCTTAAGGGCTCTCATACGGGGGACTTGATAGCCGATGAGCTGGAGGAGGTGTTGTGGGAGTGGGGCTTGGAGAAGATGTTGTTCGCCGTGACGTGTGACAACGCCGAGAACAACAGCAGGGCGATGCGTCTGCTGGCCGGTGTACCTGACGCCAGGCCGGGCTCACGGCCCAGGCACCCACCACTGCTCAGTCGCTGAAGGCGCTTCAGGTACTATGGGGCTGTCTCCGTACGGGTATGCTATAAACTGGTGGCGTAGTCCACCATGTTTGTTATGGCAGTGCTTATGTGGTACACTGACATTAAACCCACTCTGCACAATGCATTGCCCCAACAGGTGCATGGCGCACGTCGTCAACCTTGCAGTGCAAGCTGCACTGAAGGTTGACGAGGTGGCCGAGCCACTCAAGAGGCTGCGAGACGTTGCGAACTACATCGGCTGGTCCACACTGCGCACAGATCGTTTCTTCGAGCTCCAGAAGGGATACGCGGCGACCCGGCCCCAGGGTCCTCCGGGTTCTCGGCGACCATCGGGTCCGTTGCGTTTGATCGTGGATTGCTCGACGAGATGGGGTTCTACACTCCAGATGGTGAACAGGGGCTTCGAGCTGCGCATGCCCATTGCCATGTTTTTCGACGATTCAGATGTACGTATGGTAGGATTCACATTCGCTTGTGACTATGGTGATTGGGGGAACGTGGGAATGGCTTGAATATTGCCACCAGCCCATGCATGTCCCATCATCCCATGCATGTGCCATCATCCCATGCATGTGCCATCATCCCATGCATGTGCCATCATCCCATGCATGTGCCATCATCCCATGCATGTGCCATCATCCCATGCATGTGCCATCAACCCATGCATGTGCCACCATCCAATGCATGTGCCATCATCCCATGCATGTGCCACCATCCCATGCATGTGCCATCATCCCATGCATGTGCCATCATCCCATGCATGTGCCACCATCCCATGCATGTGCCATCATCCCATGCATGTGCCACCATCCCATGCATGTGCCATCATCCCATGCATGTGCCACCATCCCGTGCATGTGCCATCATCCCATGCATGTGCCATCATCCCATGCATGTGCCACCATCCCATGCATGTGCCATCATCCCATGCATGTGCCATCATCCCATGCATGTGCCATCATCCCATGCATGTGCCATCATCCCATGCATGTGCCATCATCCCATGCATGTGCCACCATCCAATGCATGTGCCATCATGCCATGCATCTGCCACCATCCCATGCATGTGCCATCATCCCATGCATGTGCCATCATCCCATGCATGTGCCACCATCCCATGCATGTGCCATCATCCCATGCATGTGCCACCATCCCATGCATGTGCCACCATCCCATGCATGTGCCATCATCCCATGCATGTGCCATCATCCCATGCATGTGCCACCATCCCATGCATGTGCCACCATCCCATGCTGTGCCTCCATCTTTACAACCCATGTGACCCATACCAGTCATCCATCAGCAAGGAGACTAAGAAGGCGTGGGACGCCATCAGGTTGACGGATGCGCACTGGGACGAGCTCGCCGAGCTCCGAGACTTCCTCACCCCATTCGAGCAAGTCACCCTCTTCGCCGAGGGTTCCCTGTACCCTACCCTCTCAGCCGTTGTACCGCAGTACAACGCGCTGATTGATCTGCAGGAGAAGGCACAGCTCACTCCTGGCATCTCCCCTCTGCGCTCATCGCTGATCACTGCTGCTTTGAGCAAGCTGGAGCGGCACATGGGGGGTGTGAGCGAGGAGGCAGCGATAGCCACTTTCTTGGACCCGCGCCAGAAGCTCGCACCCTTCAAGCACCGAGCCAGGGCAGCAGAGGGGAATTCGAGAGGGGCAACACTGGAGCTAGGACCTGATAGGGTGAAGGCCCTGGTACGGGCGCGCCTTTCAGAGTACCAGGCAGCCAGCACCACGGCGCTGGGAGATGGTGGGGAGGTGACTAGTGCGAGGGGTGCAGGGGTGCATGCATCGGCAGGGGGTGGGGCTGTGGATGCATCGGCAAATGTCAGCATCCAGTCTCAGTTGTTCGCTGCGTGGGACGCCATGGAGGCCAAAGAGGGGGAGGATCCAGAGGATGAGGTGGATCAGTACCTCGCAGAGGGGAGGCAGAGGGGTGGAAGCGCATTGGAGTATTGGCGCAGCAGGGAGACACTGAAGGGCTTGAGGGCGATGGCTAAAGATTATCTAAGGGTACCGACTTCGTCAGCAGCGAGTGAGCGCGCATTCTCACAGAGCAGGAACATCATTACTTGGCAGCGACACCGACTGGCAGCTCGCCAAGTGCGTGCTTCTATGCTGATTAAGACGTGGCAGGACCACCACCCTTCGGGGACTCTCGCTCCCAAGGGCACCTCAACGGCCAATCCCACCCTGAGAGTGGAGGATGAATCGAGGGGGTTGTGATATTTGTTCGTAATTGATGCTCATGCCCTTAACTTCATCAGATAACGTGATCGGACCAAAACTTGATTGGTTATTATTCCTGTGCGTCGAACTACTAGTTGACTCCGTTAGCTTTTAGGCCTTTGTAGGATTTTTCCAAACACGTGTAACAGTTAACGCAACTTTGAATAGTTCGTTTACATATGGGAGGACATTCATATAATAATAAATTACACAAACATTCAATCTTTGCAACACTGGACAGTACTGAGGAAACCCCTACACACTTCATATGGGGTCCTGGCCCGACCCGACCCGACCCGGCCCCTACCCGACCCGACCCGGGGGCGGGTCACGCCTCACCCGGCACCCGATACCCGGGTCGGGCCAGGATTTTTTTCAATTTCGACCCGACCCGACCCGACACGGAACCCGGCTGGCCCACCCAAGTCGGGTCGGGTCGGGTCGGGTCGGGCCTAATGATCATGCCTAATTTCGGCTATCCAAGCCAAACACGAACATGTTCGTGTTCGACTTGGGGGCCACGCGAACACCAAAAATGTTCGCGTCAAAAATTGGCCGCGACCAGATTTAGGTCGCGGCCAATTTGTGTTTGAGCTCATTTCGTGAGCTCAAACTCAGAAGTCGTTTTCGCCTTAGCGCTCCCTCACACAGCCGCCCTAGACTCCTTGTTCTAGGTGCAAGCAAGTGCACGCTGAACACTTGAACCCTAAACGGACATTAGATAGATAGATCTATGCATAGGGTTTAACGTAGTGTAGGGAGTTTAGGGTTACTATTAAGGTTCAGCGAGCATCTCCGCAAAGGGCTCAAGTAGGGCGTATCCTTCGCCGTAGGATTCGGATCGGGCATTAGGAACGTGCGGCACCATCCAACGCTAACGTTGCCTTAGGGGGTTTTAGGGTTTAGGGTCGAGGGCGGAGTGATGGCTTCCAGGGCTGGTGGATCCATAGGCCGAGGTGCAGGCAGGGCTCAGGGCAGCGCACCGAGATCTCCACCACGACCTATGCAGGGGCGAGTAGGGGATGGACCGGGTGGAGCCGGCGCGATCTTCGTTGGGGGGTTGCTTACCGTACCAGCGCCGAGCTCTCGTCGCTCTTTCCGTTACGACGGCCCTCGGTCCCCTCCTTCGGGGCAGACGCCGACGCAGCCGGAGAGCGGCAGTGAGGAGGAGGATGAGGAGGAGGATGGTGAGGGCGAGAAAGGAGGAGGACACTGAGGGGAGCGGGGATGACAGCGAGGCGGCGTGGGACCCAGAGACGCATGGCGGTGGGGAGGGGGGAGATGATGAGATGGATGGGTTGGAGCCAGAGGGGCGGGAGGAGGAGGTGGGAGAGGGTGGTGGAAGGGCGGCAACAGAGGCGGGATCACAGCATGTGCGTGAAGGGGGAGGGAGCGTGGGGGTTAAGGTGGGGGGGAGAAAGGCCGTGACCATTAGGGAGCCGAGGCAGAGGAAGAAGGCCAACAAGTTGAGGGAGCGGGCGTATCCCTGCACGTTCACTGGGGAGCCCTTGGGCGAGGGTGTGATTGCTCCCGAGTTCCTAGACGAGGACGGAGGGTCTGAGAGTAGTAAGGGGACTGGCAAGGGTAATAGGAAGCCGGGGTGGCAAGTAATGATGTTCGGACCGTTAGGGGCAGACGATAAGCGTCAGTGCAAGATTTGCACAGACAGGATTTCGTGGAACCAATCCACAACAACCCCCGGCGAGCGGCACTTTGCGAGCTTCCACACTGCGCACATGCATGTGTGGCATCACCGTTACCACACCCCGTCCGTTCACTTGCCAGGGGAGACGTTGATGGATGCAACAGAGAATCTCAGAGAATGCAACAGAGGCATGAAAGGCAACACGATGGAGATTGATGGATAGATGGAGGAGGGCAGAAGAAGGAAGGGAAAAATATTGATCTCGATCAACCTGATCCTGTGAATGTCCTACACCTCATTTGTCTGCTATACCAAAACTTTGTCGCGAAAGAGCGACGATTTTTTTTTTATGCCCCACAAAAAAACGTGGGAGTAGGGTAGAGTTTGCTCGGATTTGTGTTGTAGTACTGCCTTGTGATTTGTCTATTTTTAAAGCATAGTACACTTTAAAATTTAAGTTCAGGTTTATTTTGAAGCTTTTGCTCTAAACAAAAACACCCTGAGGTTGGTAAGGGTTTCCCAACCTCCTTGATGTATCTCGACAAAACTCTCTAGTCCAATTCTTCAACTTGTCAACCTAACTACCTACTCTATTAGGCTCTTATTGTAGCAGTGGCCATGATATGGCAAAAAAAAGAGTGAGAGCTTACTTTGCATGCTTTCAGCAACAATTCACTAGCCATGGGTGTTTCGGACTAGGGATGAGCAAAGGGCGAACACGAACATGTTCGTTTTCGCCCCTTGTTGAACACCCTCTTTTGCCGAACCGAACACTGTTTGGTTCGGCGAACAGTTTGGGAAAAAACAGGTGTTCGCTGTTCGCCTGTGGAGGCGTGTTCGGGCGAACCTCGAACACTATTCGTGTTCGTCGCGGGCAACTTTCAGCAGCGGCCCGAAAACGAACGTGTTCGGGCGAACATCGAACACTGTTCGGCGAACGATTTGAGCTCAAAAACAAAACTTGTTTGGTTCGCGCCACCTTGCTCATCCCCATTTCGGACCGTATGCTGTTCAGAGTGGTTCGGTTCGAAAGGTTTGGTTCGTTCGACTATGCCCACGAAATTGAGCAGGTTTGACTTGAACCAGCTCAAGTCTGTAGTTGACCACCTACTTACAGTTGCTCCAGTCCCGTAAGGGTGCCGATTTCAGTAGGGATTGAGCCACTGAGCTGATTGGTGTCAAGAAATCTGCGACAATGGACAAAGATGGACACAGGTCAAGAATAGCACCAACGAGAAATGGTGGAGAGGAGGGAAGATATGAGAGCACAGCCAAGTGAAGGCCTTGCAGGGTGACTTAAAGGTATCCCAAGTTTGCAAGGTTGTTGATGTCAGAAAGCATTGAGCCATGTATTCTAATCCTTTTTTTTTACTAGCTTACCTACCTGCTCATTTTCGACTCTCCTAGGGTTGTCTTAACATGCTGTCTGAAGCTACATCCTCAGCAACAAAGGCTATCTCCACAGTGGGCTCCTTCCTCACAGCAGCCATACGAGCCAGGTGCCACATCCAGCACAAGCTCAGCCCCGTTTTGTGGCGGAGACCTTGAGCACTGACAGCGTCAAACGCTACCACTTAGGGGTTCGCACGAAAGTTGGAGATATGAGTACTGCAAGGGCCGCATCCCGCCATTCCTGAGCATCCCGCCAACCCTGGGCGCAGAGGAAAGGCTGACGAGCCCGTCAGGACAAGGGCTCGGGAGGCGATTGGTTGAGCGCTGTCCGCCGTGCAATCCCGCGGCGGGTCGTGTTCACCAGGTGGTTCCATTACGACTGAGGAGTGAGCCGAGGACGCCAATAGTCCGACGGGGGGAGGGGCGGGAGATGTAGCCCCACCTCGGCTAGAGCTACGCCAAGGGGGGGACAAGGCAAACGAGCAGCTAGTTTGCTCTAGTTGCGGATCCTATGGGGACGAGGCGCTGGGGGTGATGAATCGTTTGGTGCCAAGAATGACAAGAAATCCGCGGGTGACCCAGCTTTTATCCCCGATAAAGAGGGGAGTTTGACTCCCTCAAATCAAAAGGACGAAGCCAACCCAGCCGTGGGACAAAATCCACTACCCGCACGAAGCTCATCCACAATCCAGGCTTCACCCCAAATATGAAGCGCGACAGGAACCTGAGCCGTACATACGAATCGGGAGACAGATTCCCCAACCAATGAGGAGCAGTCTAGGCCAGTCCCAACCCATCCAATCCTACACCCTGGCGACCATGCCTCCCGCCAATATCTCTTCGACACCAACTCCACCTAGGACTCGGTCTCGCTTCGCAACAGTCACCAGCCAACCCTTGCCCGACACCCCCACTCGCCCATCGCGAAGCCTTTGTGGCCTGTTTGCTGACACCCTAGCTCTACCTTGTGACCGATCCAACCTCAACCTTGATGGAGGTTACTAATGTTCCTCCCGCGCTTGCTTCTTCCCACCTCGTCAGCCCGCCGCCCTGACTTGCTTTGCAAGCGATGGGGGACAGAATCATTCCCTTCCACCAAGTTTTAGCGGCAAAACTATACTACGAGGAGGTCAGTGCTCTCACATCACCATCGCCATGTTGACACTAGGGATGCCTTGCAGTTGCTGAAGGACTCGCCAAACAAGGCAACCTGGGCGAAATTCCTTTAGTCCACGCTGCTAGGAGACGTGCAGGCAGCACTGGGTTCCCGACACCTTGCTGCCTCAACACCCCTCTTGGACTGGATTCCCACCCTGCTGCCCAAGATCTCCGCCGCCTTCTGACCAAGTGCCCAGATGGGGTCAGTGCTGGTCTGTTAGGGACCACCTTTGAACATCTCTATGACGCGGTCCTCAGGAACGCGGATGTGTTCCAACATCCACACAGCCCACGCCGGTAAATTGAGCACAGAAGCGGCAGATTTGCTTACCGCCTCACCTAGAATTGTGCGGCGATGAGGCTATACTATCGAATCCACTATCGAATCCACTTTCGACTCAGCCGTCCTACCCACTGTGGCAGGAATATATAGCTCCACCGTGTCAACGAGAGTTGGGTGTTGGCGCCGTCCTCACTTGGGCGGAGCCGACTTCGTGGCCAGGTGTGCGGGAGGTGTAACCGACCGACTACAGTGGGCGACGCTGACTTGGGGCGAGCAAGTCGACAGGCTTGGTCGAGCTGCACGGGGCCACTGCGAAGCCGCCGACGACGGGAAGCCGGCGGCCGACTTCAACTGTGGTCGATCTGGAGTTGGTCGACTTAAAAAGTGGCCAACTTGGTGAAGTCGACTGGTGGTCGTCGACTTGGGTGGTTGACGAGCGCGTACAGTAGTATGTCAACTTCTACCGAACAAGTTGACGCCGACTTACTGGTTTCCCCGTCGATCAAGTTACCAGGGCAACGAGTTTGTGCGGGGTGCGCGATTGTCGCCAGATGGTTTGCGGCAAAGTCGACCTCGGAGTGGTATCCCAAAGTCGACGTGGCTCATCAGGCACAAACAACGGCATGTGGCCGCCTTGGCACCTGCGCTATGCACGTGACGGTGCGCGTCGCACCAACTGACTACGAGCACCTGCGAAGTAGGTGCACTGCTGTCATTTGCGGGTGTAATGCTGGACAGCCGCCTTGCTGCAGCGTTGGCACGCCGTCGACTTGCAGTGTTGGCGAGCCGTCTTTCTGCAGCGCTGAAGAGGTGCAGACTTTGCAGCGCTGGAACATCGACCTTCTGCGCTGGAAGTCGACCTGCTTGCTTGCTAGGCAGACTTGCTTCTCATGTAGTCAACTTAGCCAACGTTATTGCAACCATTGTGTAATTCTTTTGCTAGAGAAACACGCAAGGGACGTTGCGATCACTCACACAGCCGTGCCTTACCCCGTAGTCTAGCTCCCGTTGTAGAGTTGCTCTCCGCACACCGTGCTTTCCTGTTCTTGCTCCTAAGATGCGCCTCTTGTTCTTCCACTAGGTGCTCTGGTTGCCGTGCCTCCAATTGTTGGTACCCAGTCGGCACCCGCCCTTCCTTTAACTTTGGTCGTGGCTGTGCAAGTGCCGGTGGTAACCATAGAAATGACAGATTTTGCGCTTGTACAAGAGTAGAGCACACCGCGGGCGAACTTCGCAGTACAGGCGACCTCGGGGTTCCGCACTCCCCGGCGGCTCATGGTGGCTGGACTTTGCTCTTGGGTTCGTCTTGCGCTTGAGACGCTTGGGCAGTTGTGGCTTCTCTCCATAAGCTGCCACTGACTAAAGTTGGTCCCAAAACATGGGAAGCGCCAGAAGTGTCGAAGGTGGCTGGTAGGGCTCGAAAAGCAGGTAGGGCACGTTGCGGGCGTGCCAGTGCCGGGTGGGGCTGTCCAGCATCTACCCCTGCTCGCTGGCTTGGGACTGTTGCAGATTCAATCCAGAAGTCAATGCTGTTGACGTCAGCGTATAACTGGCTCATTAGTCGTGGAAGGCCATGGCAGGCATGCTTGTCGCGCTAGGGGTGGAGGCCATGGTGTAGTCGTGGTCTGCCGCGTGCATTGTTGCCCCATCTTGTGTGCTAGACCTCTTGCATTGGTGTTGATGCCATCTAGGGATGAGCAAAATCCCGAACGCCTGTTCGGTTCGCCTCGAACATGTTCGAAGCGAACCGAACAGGCATTTTTTTTTGCCTAAATGGTTCGGGCCGAACATGTTCGGTGTTCGGCCGAACATGTTCGACGTTCGCCCAAGGAGTTCGGCTATCCAAGCCAAACACGAACATGTTCGTGTTCGACTTGGGGCCACGCGAACACCAAAAATGTTCGCGTCAAAAATTGGCCGCGACCAGATTTAGGTCGCGGCCAATTTGTGTTTGAGCTCATTTCGTGAGCTCAAACTCAGAAGTCGTTTTCGCCTTAGCGCTCCCTCACACAGCCGCCCTAGACTCCTTGTTCTAGGTGCAAGCAAGTGCACGCTGAACACTTGAACCCTAAACGGACATTAGATAGATAGATCTATGCATAGGGTTTAACGTAGTGTAGGGAGTTTAGGGTTACTATTAAGGTTCAGCGAGCATCTCCGCAAAGGGCTCAAGTAGGGCGTATCCTACGCCGTAGGATTCGGATCGGGCATTAGGAACGTGCGGCACCATCCAACGCTACCGTTGCAGGAAGGGTGTTTTAGGGTTTAGGGTCGAGGGCGGAGTTATGGCTTCCAGGGCTGGTGGATCCATAGGCCGAGGTGCAGGCAGGGCTCAGGGCAGCGCACCGGGATCTCCACCACGACCTATGCAGGGGCGAGTAGGGGATGGACCGGGAGGAGCCGGCGCGATCTTCGTTGGGGGGTTGCTTACTGTACCGGCGCCGACCTCTCGTCGCTCTTTCCGTTACGATGGCCCTCGACCCCCTCTTTCGGGGCAGACGCCGACGCAGCCGGAGAGCGGCAGTGAGGAGGAGGATGAGGAGGAGGATGGTGAGGGCGAGAAGGAGGAGGACACTGAGGGGAGCGGGGATGATAGCGAGGCGGCGTGGGACCCAGAGACGCATGGCGGTGGGGAGGGGGGAGATGATGATGATGAAGACCACGAGATGGATGGGTTGGAGCCAGAGGGGCGGGAGGAGGAGGTGGGAGAGGGTGGTGGAAGGGCGGCAACAGAGGCGGGATCACAGCATGTGCGTGAAGGGGGAGGGAGCGTGGGGGTTAAGGTGGGGGGGAGAAAGGCCGTGACCATTAGGGAGCCGAGGCAGAGGAAGAAGGCCAACAAGTTGAGGGAGCGGGCGTATCCCTGCACGTTCACTGGGGAGCCCTTGGGCGAGGGTGTGATTGCTCCCGAGTTCCTAGACGAGGACGGAGGGTCTGAGAGTAGTAAGGGGACTGGCAAGGGTAATAGGAAGACGGGGTGGCAAGTAATGATGTTCGGACCGTTAGGGGCAGACGATAAGCGTCAGTGCAAGATTTGCACAGACAGGATTTCGTGGAACCAATCCACAACAACCCCCGGCGAGCGGCACTTTGCGAGCTTCCACACTGCGCACATGCATGTGTGGCATCACCGTTACCACACCCCGTCCGTTCACTTGCCAGGGGAGACGTTTCCACGTGGGGGCTACAAGGGAGTGCAGGATGGCTACGTCTATCAGTGGCCACATGCCAAGACTTGGCCGCAGCTCGCCAAGGGGAAAGGGATGGCGACTGGTGGAGGTCATGGGTCAGGCGGAATGGAGCGGTGGATGACAACCAAACTGACCTCGGTGTAGCTACGGCAGGCGATCACGAAGCTGGTGGTCACCTGCGACCTCCCCTTCCGCATCGTCGAGGCCGAGGCTGTAAGTGCCCCATCCCATCCCATGCATGATTGGGCAAGTATGTGGTTAGTGGACGGGTCTGTCCCTTTGTGTGTTGACTGTTTGCGTGTGGCCCAGTGCAGTGCTATATTATTTTCATCCCATCCCCCTGACGTTTACTCCCCTCTCCCCCCTTGTCTCTACCCCTCTCCAGTTTCGTGAGCTACTCATCCTGCTAAACCGCAACTGCGCGCAGAAGAACTTCATCCCCTCGCGCTGGACGGTTTCCCGCGATACAGTGGTCTATGCGGCTGCCGCTCTTCAGTCAGCCATTGCGGAGATGCTGGCGAAGGAGGGGGAGCTGGGGTGCAGGGTGTCGTTCACCATCATCGACATGTGGACGTCGCCCAACAACAGGGCGTGGCTAGTGGTAACAGGTCACTTGATCGACGAGAATTACCAGCTGCGCACAATGGTGTTTGAATTCCGCAAGATTCTCGGGCGTCACACGGGCAAGCAGATGGCGAGGGTGGTTGAGGAGACTGTGGTGCAGTGGGGGTTGGAGACGCGTTGTTTTGGGTTCACCTCAGACATCGCCTCCAGCAACACTGCCGCTTCCAGGTGGATGTCGGAGGAGGATGGTGGCCAGTGCTTCTTCAACTCGCGCATGCACTTTCGGTACGAAAGGGTGTGTGCGTGGGCTGTGCGATGAGGGAGTCTGGGTGCGTTGTTCCTGTGATGTGAACATGTTGTGGTTGTAGTACAGGCGAGTGGGCCTATGCGGCTTGAGAGTGGTAGTGTTTCTCGGATCTATGGCAATGTGTACTCACACTTCCCTTTCTCTCCGCCATGAATGTTTTGTGATGTGCGCAGCTATGTTCGGAAAGACGCAGCTAGGACGCTGCGTCCTGCGTCCGGACGCTGCGTCCGGACGCTAGGACGCAGGACGCACGTCGAAATTTTTTTCGGGCAGCCCGAAAAAAAAAATCGATTGCGATTTTGGCATTCGCGATTTCGACGCGAATGTCGAAATCGCGAAATTTCCCCATCCCAAGCCCAATTCGCCATTCAAAACCAGCCCCCCTAACATTCCCTAACAACTAAACCAAAATTGAATCACTCAAACCTCTCAACCACTTAGCATCTACGAATCCCAACCTTTGTAGCCCACCACCACCAAGCACATTTAGCATGGCAACCTTTTGTGGCTTCTCATTTTCCCCTCACCAATTCTCTTTCGTAAACCCATAGAGGTTTTAGGTCTTAGCTTAGCTTACCACCTAAACTCCGCTATGGCTTCCTCGAGCATTCCTTCTTCTTCCACCGCATCTAAGAGTGTTGAAAATTTTGTGGTTGGGGAAATTTTGTGGTATGACACCCCCCCCCCCCCCCCCCCCCCCCTCTCCCAAGCCCTATACAATTTTTTTGGCCTGCCCGGGGGTTTTTTTTGCCCTGCCCGGGCTTGCGTCTTTTGGTGCGTCTTACAGGTCAAGGGTCAGCGTCCTGCGTCTGGACGCATGCGTCCAGGACGCAGGACGCGTCTTTCTGAACATAGGTGCGCAGATGCCTGGCACACGTGATCAACCTTGCAGTGAAGGCAGCACTCGCTGTGGCCGCCATCCGCAAGTTGCTGAAGATTCTGAGAGAGATGGCGTCGTGGATAGGCTCGCCACAGCGCTCAGGGAAGTTCTTGGGCCTTCAGCGGACCCTGAACGCGCAGGGCAACCCCGCCAATCCGAAGCCGGCATTGAAGCTGGTGCAGGACAGTCCCACACGCTGGGGGTCGACCCACAACATGGTCGAGCGAGCCGGGGTTCTGCAAGAACCCATCTCTGTCTTCTTTGCCCAGACACAGGTGTGTGTGTGTGGCACACACTGTGTGCCAGGTGTTGTGTATGCGGTATTATGTATTGGTATGTCGGTCGGGGTGTTTTCTTCTGAGACTTGCACCACTGTTGGTCATGCTTGACTAAACTTTTCGGACCTCCAACAACCTCAACCACCCCACTTTCCATCCTAACACCCGCCCACCCATACGTTCTACCCGACAGGGCGTGTCGAAGGCTGACAAGGCGAAGATGGACACCTTGCGCCTGACGGACGCAGACTGGGAGACTCTGCATTCTGTCAAGACCTTCCTCAGCCCATTCGCCAAAGTCTCCAAGGCCGCAGAGGGAGCGGCGTACCCTACAGTGGCGATGGTCCTCCCGTACTACAACGGCCTGATCGACGTTATGGAGTCGCGCCTTGCCAAGGGGCCATCAGCTACGCTGAAGCTGATGATTGAGGCGGCGCTGGGTCTCTTGAAGTATGAATTGATGTCAAGCAATGAGTTGTGGATCGCCACCTTCCTGGACCCTTCCATGAAGGCGGCGTGGTTCGACGACGCGCACTGGGAGACGCTGCATCCCGATACCGACCGGAGGGCGAGGCCTCGTCCCTCGTCAGGCAAGGTGATCCAGCTGGTTCGCGAACGCGTGGCCGAGTACCAGGCCCGGGCTGCAGCGATTACCCCTCAGCCGACCCCACTTGCCCCAGTGACGGAGGAGGGAGACGCGGCGGATGACGACGAAGACACCGAATTTCTCCCTAGTCGCCGACGCCTTGCGGCGCGTCTGTCGGCGAGCCAGGAGGCGGGGAGGGGTGGGATGGTGCAGGATGACGAGGTTGGCAGGTACTTATCAGAGAGGGTGCGGTGCGACGTGTCAGCGTTGGAGTATTGGCGCAGCGCCACCAACATGCAGACGCTGAGGCGCATGGCCCGGGATTATCTTGCCATCCCTGCCACGTCCGCGTCGAGCAAGCGCGTGTTCTCCCTCGGCCGCAACCTCATATCCTGGAAGCGGCACCGCCTAGCCTCTCAGAGGACGCGAGCTTCCATGATTCTCAGAACATGGTACACCTCACACCCTGGACAGAGGATAGGCGAGGGCCGCCGTGCAAAAGGCGAGGCACCACCAGAGTTCGCCATTGAAGGCGAGGGGGAGGAGGAGGATGACGAGTGGGAGGAGGTGGGGGAGGAGGAGCAGGTGGGGGTGGGTGCTGGCGACACCTCTGACGCGGAGCATGCTGTTGTAGGTAGTAGCAGTGGTGTGCAGGCGTAGGATTTAATTTGGCAGTGACTTTTAAATAGGCAAAACATGATGGTGTCGTATGCTAGTGTGCGTTGCATGAACACATATACACCCTCCACCCCCCTATCTATCTTCCCAACCCTCCAGATTCCGTGTTTGACCAATGTGACTATAATGAAAGTGCCCACGGGCGAACTCGAACATGTTCGAGTTCGCCCACACATACCAAATGTTCGCCCCCAAGGGCGAACGGCGAACACCTCCTGAACCCTAAATTGTTCGCCGGACCGAACCGTGTTCGGTTCGGAAAATGTTGATGTTCGAGCGAACTCAAACCCAAACGTGTTCGAGTTCGCCCTTTGCTCATCCCTAATGCCATCATGCCATGTCTTATGGTTGCTCTTCCCGTGTGTGCACCGAAGGCGGTCGCACCTGCGAAAGTAATGAGCTCAATCTCTTCGCACTGCTCCACTCACAGCATTCGCAATGACTGCACTTTGAAGTACATTTCTCTCTTCTCGCACCCCTCTTTCACGAGTTCGCATCTGAGACCTTCTCTCCAAACCAGAGATGAGCATTTGCCCCGCTCGGGTCGGGCCGGCCCGACCCGACCCGTGGTTTAGCCCGGGTCGGGTCAGCGGTTTCAATAGCCTGCCCCGTGCGGGCCGACCCGACCCGACCCGGGCTAAAACCTGACCCGAGCATGGAACTCGGGCCGAGTCGGGTCGGGTTTCGGGTCAGCTTTGACCCGACCCGAAATCGGGTCAGGATTTGGGAGATCGGGTCGGGTCTGACACAGGGGGGACCCGAAACCCTAACACATTCGATGTCAAGGGGAATTCTTTCCCCTCCACATCAATTCATTACCGCAAACGTAATATCCTTCCTCCAGCAACCAAAGGCACCTAGGAACCATAACTACTTAATTTGCAGCCAAAGAATGATGCGACTTTGTGGAGAGGCTCAGGGTGGGGGGGGTAGATTTAGTGCGGTAAGTAGTGGTGAGCAGTGGCGAATTGGTTGGAAATATTTGTTCCAACACATTCGTCGGAAACAAGTGCCATGGCGAAACTCCCAATCCAGATCGACCAGCGAAGTTGACGATTTGCAGAGTTACGCCAACGAACTCACGGATCTGCGCAGATCGGCGGGCGAAAGCGCCGATCTGCGCAGATCGGCGGGCGAAAGCGCCGATCTGCGCAGATCGGCGGGCGAAAGCGCCGATCTGCGCAGATCGGCGGGCGAAATCGCCGATCTGCGCAGATCGGCGGGCGAAATCGCCGATCTGCGCAGATCGGCGGATGAAAGCGCCGATCTGCACAGAGCGCGGGCGAAATCGGGTTTCCTGACCCGACCCGACCCGGCCCGAGCCGAAGTCGGGTCAGGGTCGGCCCGGCCCTGTACCCCCGGGTCGGGTCAGGGTATTCAACATCCTTGCCCGAGGCTGGCCCGACCCGACCCGGCCCGGGAACCCGCTCGGCCCGGCCAAGTCGGGTCGGGCTGGGTCGGGCCGGGCCAAATGCTCATCTCTACTCCAAACCTCCACAGGCCCAATGCATTCGGGCCTTAGAGAACGTACAGAATAGAGACCTTGCGAAGGCTGCTGATGGAGTTCGGAATGGACCCGATTAGGTTAAACATAGATAGTCGCCTGCACGAGCACCCAAGGCACCCACAGCACGTGCAACCAAGCATGTCAATGAATGGTTTCTTGGAGAATAAAAACGAGTGATACGGCTAATGTAGCCCTTGTACACAACAAGGTGGTCACTGCATGCACACGGGCAACCCCCTTGAACGAGCACATCGCAGTCAGAGAAGATATTAAATCTCACATCTCCAATATCATTCCGCTGCTGTCGCATGTGATACCCTCTGCACTGCTGCAGTCCGGATTGGAGCCCCCCCAACCAGGCAACGTCTGACCCCATGCCGTCTGGCAGTCCTGCAGGAATTGCACTGCGGGTTGGTGGAGTGGAGGTGGGGGAGGGAATGGGGAGAGGGGAGGAGAAGCGGTGTTGAAGGGTGGCGAGGAAAGAGGAGTAGCAAGGAATGTGTGTCTTGGTGGAAAGGGGGGGGGGGGGGGGGGGGAGGGGGGGGACTGGCTTGAGGAGTGCAAGCACATCCCATCAGAAACATACAGGCACGGCAAATACATAACCAAACCACTTTCGCCACCACTTGTCACAATGCCGCAACAGCCAATCATGTCCCAGAGTCACCACCCAATGAGAAGCACTAATGATGTTGGTTGTGCGGAAGTTGGAGTTTACGCCCGAGGGTGGCTCTTCTATACATGTGTTTGGATGATACGTCTGGCCCATGAAAATCATACGCTAAGCATATACCAAGTCACGGTCTTCCTTGAAACAGGTATGTTACTATCCAAATGATGTTCCTGAACATCTAGCGGAGGAATAGTAGGCCGCTTAAAGGTATGTCTTAAGCATTTAGGGGCAGATGTAGTATGTTGGTTCAAGTCGTCGTGCTCGCCGGTTGCTGATCCGCACTGATCATAATTCTCTCACCTTGCGAGAGGAGCGCTTATAGCACATCCCAGCAGAAACATACGGGCACGGCAAATTTGATACCAAATCACGTTCGCCACCACTTGTCACAAAACCACAAAGTCCCAAAGTCGGCACCAAACGCAGGTCTCGACTCGGTGCTCTGCATATTACCTTAAGCCAATGAGAAGCACTATGTTGATTGTGCGGAAGTTGGAGTTTACGCCGGAGGGTGGCTCTTACATGTGTTTGGATGATACGTCTGACCCATGCAAATCATACGCTAGTAAGCATTTACCAAGTCACGTTTTCCTTGAAATAAGGTATGTTCACTATCCGACAAGTGTCTCCAATGAT